GTACAGTGGGTCAAAGGAATTGTCCGTAGAGCTCCGAGACAGGATTGTGTTGAGGCACAGATCTGGGGAAGGGTAAAAAAAAAATCTGCAGCATTGAAGGTCCCCAAGAACACAGTGGCCTCCATCATTCTTAAATGGAAGAAGTTTGGAACCACCAAGACTCTTCCTATAGCTGGCTGCCCAGCCAAACTGTGCAAGTGGGGGAGAAGGGCCTTGGTCAGGGAGGTGACCAAGAAACCGATGGTCACTCTGACAGAGCGCCAGAGTTCCTCTGTGGAGATGGGAGAACCTTCCAGAAGGACAACCATCTCTGCAGCACTCCACCAATCAGGCCTTTATGGTAGAGTGGCCAGACGGATAACACTCCTCCTCATACCAGGCCTTTAATCATGGGTTTGGGATCAATAGAGGTGCAGTATTTGGAGACCACAACTGGGACTTTCCATGTCTGATTCATACTCCTTCCTTCACTTCACACATCCATTAATCGGTTTTAACGCCTTCAGAAGACTTAGTTTCAGCTCAACACCTACACTTATACAAAAGGAGGTCGGCTTTTATGAATAGTCAGTGTTGGAGTTTCCCAGGTTAATTGTATTGATCATCTCTGTGAACCACAGGATTGCTCCTTGTTTATAAATGTATTATTTTGCAATACTTTTACCTTAGTAGTGGACTATTGCTTAGATTTCACTTATAATGGTCTTATCAAATAATGGTCTATAGTGGTACCCCTGACTGAGTTACATTAGGCACAGGGGAGCATGGAAAAGGTTTCAATTATTCCCTAGTAAGTGTGATTATACATGGCTTATAGGATGGGCAGCCAAACCTTGGTTATATAAAGATAAATATGATTAATGAAAAGCAGTGGTCCGTAATGTCTGTTTGATATGGTTACACCTGATATTTTGCAAGCCTACATTCTGGTTGGTTTGACCAGAATCTCGCTGGTGTTCAACAAATGTTGAAGGTTGTAATTGTAGCTGGAGGTGTGACGGCAGTAGGTGTACTTTTGTAAATCATGAGACATTGAATCAGCTCTGACTCATCTGGAGCAAGTGTAATCAAGGTGTCAACATTGCCTAATGGCCGATAGTAAATAAAAAGGTATTTTTACAAAATATGCAGAATGCATAGCAAGCACCAATCTTGGCTGCTACAGTTTTTCTAAACGTTGTTAGTGGCGCTAATAATTTGGATGTTATTTTTAATTGAGCCAAAGCAGCAGGTTGGTAGCTTTCATCCTGTTTGTAAGACCCTCACAAACTTCATTTGAAATAGTTTACGAATATGTCAAGATTTTCCCCGATGAGGGGAAATTCCCTGTACAGTATCTATGAGAATTACTCACAGGTTGGAGCTGCTGTCACGATCGTCGGGAACAGAGGACCAAGGCGCAGCGTGGAAGGTGAACATATTTTATTTAATAGAGTAATCACCCGAACAAAACAACAAACGATACGTGCAGTCCTACGGTACAAACCAAAAGGAACAAGATCCCACAAACACTGTGGGAAAACTGGCTGCTTAAGTATGGTTCTCAATCAGAGACAACAAGCAACAGCTGATACACGTTGCCTCGGATTGAGAACCACACTGGCCAACATAGAAATACAACTGACTAGAACAGAAACACATGAAAACTCACACCCTGGCTCAACATACTAGAGTCCCCAGAGCCAGGGCGTGACAGTACCCCCCCCCCCCCCCAAAGGCGCGGACTCCGACCGCGCCAACCAAACACCACAGGGGAGGGACCGGGTGGGCACTCCGCCTTGGCGGCGGATCCGGCTCCGGGCATGATCCCCACTCCCTCTCTAACCCCCCAAAGTACCCCTGGTCCGGTCTGGCCCTGCTGGCCGGAGCTGGACTGAACACTGGTGGAGCGGATTGCTCTAGCTCCGGCGTGGAGCAGCTGACCGGTACCGGACCAGGCACCGGTGGAACAGGCATGGGCTGTGACGGACTGACGACGCACACCACTGGCTTGGTGTGGGGAGCAGGAGCGGGCCGGACCGGGCTGACGAAGCGCACCACTGACTTGGTGCAGAGAGCAGGAATGGACCGGGCCGGGCTGGCGACGCGCACCACTGACTTGGTGCGGGGAGCAGGAACAGGCCGGGCCGGGTTGGCGACGCGCACCATAGGCTTGGTGCGGGGAGCAGGAACAGGCCGGACCGGGCTGACGAAGCGCACCATAGGCTTGGTGCGGGGAGCAGGAACAGGCCGGGCCGGGCTGGCGACGCGCACCATAGGCTTGGTGCGGGGAGCAGGAACGGGCCGGACCGGGCTGACGAAGCGCACCACTGACTTGGTGCGGGGAGCAGGAACGGGCTGGACCGGGCTGACGAAGCGCACCACTGACTTGGTGCGGGGAGCAGGAGCGGGCCGGGCCAGGCTGGCGACGCGCAACATAGGCTTGGTGCGGGGAGCAGGAACAGGCCGGGCCGGGCTGGCGACGCGCACCATAGGCTTGGTGCGGGGAGCAGGAATGGGCCGGACCGGGCTGACGAAGCGCACCACTGACTTGGTGCGGGGAGCAGGAACGGGCCGTACCGGGCTGACGAAGCGCACCACTGACTTGGTGCGGGGAGCAGGAGCGGGCCGGGCCAGGCTGGCGACGCGCACCATAGGCTTGGTGCGGGGAGCAGGAACAGGCCGGGGCGGGCTGGCGACGCGCACCATAGGCTCGGTGCGGGGAGCAGGAACAGGCCGGGCCGGGCTGATGACACGCACCACAGGCTCGATGTGAGGAACAGGAACAGGCCGGACCGTACTGGGGACACACACCACTGGCCCTACGCAGGGATCAGGAACGGGCCGGACCGGACTGCTAACACACCCCAGTACCTCTCGCCGTGCCTCTACACTTTCCCTCTCCTCTGTGACCAGTGGCCCCCTTAACCTGGCGGCCTCCTCTGCAAACCCGCTGGACCGCTCCATCGCGGCCTCCTGCTGCCCCTTCGTCCACGGCGTGAGCCCCCCCTAAAAAAATTCTGGGTGTCTCTCCTCCCCGTGGACCAAGCCTCCCTATCTCTCGCCAGACTCTTCCTCCACTGCTCCAAAGTCCAACCACTCTGCTCTTCATTTGGCTTGACCCAGTCGAGACTCTTCCTCCACTGCTCCCAAGTCCACCCTCTCTGCTCTTCACTAGGCTTGACCCAGTTAAGGTTGCCACGGAGATCCGCTAGCGATTCCCCTGGCGATGGCTCCTGGACACGCTGCTTGGTCCAGTTTTGGTGGGATCTTCTGTCACGATCGTCGGGAACAGAGGACCAAGGCGCAGCGTGGAAGGTGAACATATTTTATTTAATAGAGTAATCACCCGAACAAAACAACAAACGATACGTGCAGTCCTACGGTACAAACCAAAAGGAACAAGATCCCACAAACACTGTGGGAAAACTGGCTGCTTAAGTATGGTTCTCAATCAGAGACAACAAGCAACAGCTGATACACGTTGCCTCTGATTGAGAACCACACTGGCCAACATAGAAATACAACTGACTAGAACAGAAACACATGAAAACTCACACCCTGGCTCAACATACTAGAGTCCCCAGTGCCAGGGCGTGACAGCTGCTTTTCTCATACACTAAATATTGCTAATGTATTCCATATAATCTAATCTGTGGGTGTCGGGCCTATGTCAATACAGGATCCCAATGGCATAGAGTCGACTGACACTCCCTATTTTGTGGCAGAGAGAATGTGATAATTTGTTTAGTGGATCAAATGCTTACCTCGAAGCTTGTAAGGACTCTGATTGGTTATCAGCTTGGAATCATATTAGTATTTAAGGATGGCATCCTTTTGGTTTCCTCATGCCAAAGTCTGTTCTTTGATCTATTGCATTTTTATCTTGTTAACACAAACTTTCTGTGACGATTTTATGACTACATTTCAAAAATCATTTCATTATAATACGTTTCTTAACTTAAGAAATAAGTGAGTGATGTGGTGCAAATAATATTTTATAATGAGGATTGTATTGACTGTATTTCTTTGGTTTCAGCCATGGGGACCATACTACTAGATGGTGTTGTGGTTCTATTCGTCTGTGGTAAGTGGGTTTAATTAATTGTTTACTAATTATCTGCATTATGTGATAATTAGTTATTATGAATATGGAATGTTGACAAATAATACTTCCATGAGAATGTGAAATTACAGGAATATGATTATTATTTTGCATTCTATTAATCTTACCAATTATGTTTTGTGCCAATTTGCTTAAAATGTATGACTACTCAAAAAATGTGTAATACAAATGAAGTATTGTAACCATTTTTCAAAAGATGTCTAGTGTTCTGACTGCTATGCATAGTTTTGCTTTTATATGCAGAATTAAACTGGAAACACAAACTGTTCCTAGATCAAAAGTTTCCAAAGTAAGCCGTGGTAAGCAGAGTGGAGATACAGACATCTCACCGGCCCTACTGTACATGTCATTGACCATATAAGAATTGCTTCTCTTCTATTTTGCTACCCTGTGAGACCCAAGCATAGATCCAATTAAGTTTTTTTTATTACCCTTCAGAAATACTTGTAATAGGTCTCTGATTATGAAGATAATCTGGGGTTTCTTTGGAAACGTTGCAAAAATGCAATATTTGGCTTCAATGGTATGACATTTTTGTGGTAAGAACTGTGAAATTATATAAAAATCATATCAAAATAGATCAAAACCATTGACGTGATGGAACATATTGTGTAATGGTATATACATCTAAAATTAAGTAATATTTTGTCTGAAATAGCTAAATGTATCAACTTGTCCAGTTCAAATTGTAGTATTTTACTATCAAAAGCATCAACTATTTTGTGAATTTCTATCTACACATCTAACTTATTTTTTTGTAATATTTAGTTGTCCTTCATGGCTTAACTTGCAGAGATAACCTCCTATCTTACCTCTTTACTATAAAATGAGTGGTCGTCAATGGCAGCATTCTGACCATAAACTACATTTTTTGATGTGTAGATTAAACATCAAATTTACTCTTGAAGTATTGGTTGTCCATATTTGCAGAATTTGGAAGGGAAACCATCTCTATGTCTCACTACCTCTAGCTCTGGCTCAGAATGTTTGTTTCTTGATTTTTCTTCTTCTTCTACATAATCACATCTTAGAGAAGACAGGAAAAAATATTTCAATTCATGCACTTGCAGGGATGGCTTACAACATATGCAGTGTGGTCTCAGAAGAGTGGGCAGGTTTCTAATGTTTCAGAGGCTACTGATGCCACAATAATCATATTGACACACAACAAATACTACTAAGAGACACATCTGGGTCTAAGAAGATGCACTAGGTAGTGTTTGACATATAATTTAGGAAAAGTTGAATTTTTGCATCTCTAACCATCCCAGATGCCTAGTTCATTACCTTTTAATCAATTTCTGTATCATAGTTTCAAATTCCCCCCTTTAAATGAATGGAGTTGATTATTGAACCTGACTCATGCAACAGGTTCGGCTCACTTTGTCAAAGTTAGTGCTTTGGGCTGAGTGGGTGAATACTTCCCAGGCTCTGTCAGAGCCAGAGGGGTTTTCAATTACGCTCTGGTTTTCAGGGCACAGTATAATAATTAACACTCAATAGCAGCTCAAGATAAATGTCGCTCTGAACAAAAGCAAATCTCAATTTAGATGCTCATCCTTTACATGCCCCTCACTCGGATTTGTCCCCTATTTAATATTCCAGTCCACTCACCTCATTATTTATATTCCTTGATGTTCTTCCAGGTGGAAAATGAGTTGGTCAACCTGCCTATATACCTTAACAACAGTCAGGTATCCGTCTACAGGAGTGGCTGGTACGCTGTGGTCACCACCAGCTTTGGCCTTAAGGTCTCCTTCGACTGGAACAGCGCAATGTTTGTCACCCTGCCCTCCACCTACCAGGGTGCTGTCTGTGGCCTGTGTGGCAACTACAACACCTAGCCCCAAGATACCCAGAAACGAGGCCACCCCTGCCTGGCCAGAGGACCTCGGGGCCAGTTGGCGCGTGGAGGAGATCCCTGGCTGTGTCCAAGGCTGTAAGGGGCCTGTCCCAACTGTGAAGTCACCCAAAAGAGGCCGTTTGAGACGGGGGAGTTCTGTGTCCTGCCACTTGCCAGAGCGTGTCCCCTACACCAGGCTGCCTGGCACAGTGTAAGGAAGGCTGCTCCTCAGTGTTGACCACTGTGTCCCCTTCACCCAGTGTGGCTGTGTCCATGGCGACCGCTACTACAACACCGACCAGGTGTTCTAGCCCAACAGGAAGTGTGACGAGGAGTGCAAGTACACCCAGGATGGACAGGTATAAACAACTGAAAGACAATAACATTAATAGGAGGATTTTAATTGAAATATTTCCTTTCTATTTGCTGTATAGATAGCTGTACAGAAATTCCATTGAACTTGTATTTTCAGTGATGTTACAGAAAATACAGTTACAGACTATCTGATCATCTGTAAATGGGATGCAATAAGTTCTCCTGAGGCCCCAACGAGAAGTGTGAAGTGGCGAACAGAGTCCTCAAGTGCCATCCAGTGGGGAAAGGGGTGTGCCATGAGTCCGGTGCCCCCACTACTCGTCTTTCGATGGGCTGGTATATGACTTCCAGGGCATGTGTACCTACACTCTGGTCCTCAGGAAGAACATTATGGGAGTCCTGGTAAGTAGGAGAGGGCTTGTTGGTTTGTTTTACTTTGAATTAATAAATAATTGTCTTCACATAACCCGTTTTCTGTGTTTTGGTGATCATTGGAGCAAATCGTGATAGAGCATTTATTCTTTAGTGCTGTTTTGACAAGGTTTGACCATGTTGACCAGTTGTCCATGTAAGACTGCCCATCCTATCCACTAGATGAATGGAGTGTTCAACCACCTGCCCCTGAGTCTGAGCGGCGGGGCGGTGCAGGTCTTCCAGGAGGGCTTTCGCTATGCCATCACTACAGGCTTCAGCCTGCATGTCACCTACGACCTTGTCTTCCACGTTACAGTCACTGTGCCTGGAAACTACCGCGGCAACACCAGCAGCCTCTGTGGCAATTTCAATGGTAACCGTGGCGACGACTTCCTCCTGCCCAATGGCAAGCTGACAAAAGACGTCAACACCTTCGGGAAGTTGTGGAAAGTGGCGATTCCGGGCAAGGTGTGTGACAACGGTTGCGCCCGGAACACCTGTCCCAAGTGTAACCCGGCACGGAGGGCCATGTTTGAGAAACCCCTCTACTGCGGGGTCATCACGGCACCCAAGGGCCCCTTCGCCACCTGCCATAGCAAGCTGGACCCTGAGCCCTACTTCAACGACTGCATCTTTGATGTGTGTGCCTCGGAGGGTGATGGAAAGGTCCTGTGTGACAGTGTGGCGGCCTACGCCTTCAACTGTCACATGGCCGGGTTGACATCAAGAACTGGAGGACGGAGTCATTCTGTCGTGAGTGCCCTCTAAGAGTTACTACTGTTGCCTGAAAGACTTGTACTTAGGTTACACTATGTATGATGTATATGTACAATAATGCTGAATCCAAATGTCCAACACAAGCCCTGTATATCTCTGTAGTCTACTCTTCCTTATAGTGTTGTATTCATGTGTATGGCCATAACTTTCTCTCAACTATCTCTTTCTGTTTTCTCTACCTAAGCCATGAAGTGCCCAGCCAATAGTCACAATGAGGTGAGTGTGGTTGCCTGTTCTACAGCCTGCCCAGGCCTCACATAAATAGTCTGCAATGTGTTTTTATAATGCACGTCAAGATACATAAATGTAGCTTATGTTAGGGGAGACATCATCATGAATCACTCACTTTAAGGCAACCTCTGTCCTCATGTGGACAGGGAGGTAGTGAACCTGCCTCTCAACCCGGGCCAGGGTCAGGTGATTGTCTCCCAGCTTGGCAACATGGCCATCCTGCAGACTTCGACCTGCAGGTCTCCTACGACTGGCCTGGAAACTGGTCATCCTACTTCCCAGCAGTTACTATGGCAATGTGTGTGGCCTGCGCGGCAACTTCAACGACATCCCCGGAGATGAGCTGCAGGACCTGGCCAGTAAGGCAGTTATGACGGTGGAGCAGTGGGCCAATGTCTGGAGGGTGAGGGGCCTGGCTGAGGATAAGTACACCCCCTGCTTTGACAGCTGCCAGGGGAATGTGACGTGACCCAGAGGAAGCAGTATGAGTCAGAGGCCTTCTGCTGGGCCCTCACGGCCAAGACAGTGTTCCAGATCTGTCATAATAAACTGGACCCCCAGGCCTTCATGGACAGCTGTGTGTAAGACATATGTGTGAACAAGGGGGACAGGAGAATGCTGTGCCAGGCCTTGGCCACTTATGCCGATCTGTGTCGGCAGGAGGGCGCTGTGGTCAAGGACTGGAGGACCATGTTTGGCTGCCGTAAGTAACTGACAGGGATAAAAAGGCTCAGAATGATCAATATTGTCTTTGCACATTAGGAGACCAGCGTACTGAATTATGCACTTCAGCATCACTGTGCTGAAATAACGTTTTTTAAAGTTGTCCTGCTTACCAATCAGCCACACCACTTGCACAGCTGCGGGTGACCCTTATTACCATACCTTGGATGGGCGCCGATTTGACTACCAGGGGACGTGTGTGTACCAGCTGAGGGCGCTGTGCACCCAGACGCCGGGCCTGGTGCCGTTCTAGGTGACGGTGCAGAATGACCACCGCGGGAGCAAGACCGTGGCCTACACTAAGACTGTCATCTTCACCATCTACGGGGGTCTCCCTCACCATCAGCAGGGACTACCCCTTCAGGGTCCTGGTGAGTGTTGCTGGATAGGGACAGATAATGTATAGAGGGGGGTTAGTATATTTACAGGAGTTTACCTGGTAAAAGTATATCAATAATAAATATTGATGATAGAATTAGTATTTTAAGACTCTTGGTATTTAACACTGGGTGGTAATTTATTTTCCCCCATGTGTTAAATTTTACCACTCATGGTGCTGTTACAGCTATTTAATGAAGCGTTCTAGGCCTTAATCCTTGTGTATTTAATGAAACTAAGATTTAACTGGGAATTACTCTGGATTAGTGAACAATGGAAAAATATTTCATCTATAGATTCCCATATAATTCTCCTTTCTCTTTCGTCTCCAGTTGGATGGACAGCTTGAGTCCCTGCCCCTGGACCTGAACAGTCAGCTGATTGTGTTCCGCAGTGGCCGAAGGGCTGTGGTGGAGACTGCTGCGGGCATCACACTGACCTTTGACTGGCACAGCACGGTGCACTACAGACTCCCCAGCACCTACCAGGGTGCCGTCTGCGGCCTGTGTGGCAACTACAACGCCAAGCCCTAGGACGACCTCACTATGCGGGACAGCCAGCCCGCGCCCAATGCCCCCTGGCTGGGTGAGAGCTGGCGGGTGGCCGTTGTGCCTGGCTGCTCCTCTGGATGCCAGGGGACACAGTGCCAGGCCTGTTCTGACAGTGAGAAGAACGCGTACAGTACCCGCTGTGGAATCATAGCAGACAAGTCTGGCCCCTTCAAAGAGTGCCATGGTGAAGTGGACCCTGCCCTGTACCTGGAGGACTGTGTTTTTCATGCATGTTATAATCGGGGCGGCAGGTAGCTTAGTGGTTAAGAGCGTAGTGCCAGTAACCGAAAGGTCGCTGGTTCTAATCCCCGAGCCGACTAGGTGAAAAATCTGTCGATGTGCCCTTGAGCAAGGCACTTAACCCTAATTGCTCCTGTAAGTCGCTCTGGATAAGAGCGTCTGCTAAATGACTAAAATGTAAATGTAAATGTAATCATGGTTACCAGGGGTCGGTGTGCGACGTGGAACGGCCTACGCCTCTGCCTGTCAGAGCAAAGGGGAGGAGCGACGGCTTCTGTCATGAGTTTGAGTTACTTTGTTACCTTACCATCATATATGCAGTTTAGCATAGATTTTTATCCAAAGCCATGTCCCCCTCGCTAAAGAGGTTTCTAACCTCAATGGTATTTTCCTGGTTAAATAAAGGTTAAGTGAAAATAGTTACTTAGTCAAGCAAGCATACATTTTCCGTATGGCTGGTCCCCGGAATCTAACCCACAATCCTGGTGTTGCAAGCACCATGCTCCAACAACTGAGCCATGATGTCATAGCATACATCAACTGTTAACATATCATATGTTTATGTCCAGTTTGTCAACCCTCTTTTTTGGGGTTGGGGCGTTAGATCAGCTTTAATATTCCAGATTGTGGCTTCTATAAATGTAATTGTCTGCATTTCCAACCCCCCATATTTTTGTGTGCGTGTGTGTGTGTGTGTATATGTGTGTGTACATATACAGTGGGGAAAAAAAGTATTTAGTCAGCCACCAATTGTGCAAGTTCTCCCACTTAAAAAGATGAGAGGGGCCTGTAATTTTCATCATAGGTACACGTCAACTATGACAGACAAAATGAGAAAAGATAATCCAGAAAATCACAATGTAGGATTTTTAATGAATTTATTTGCAAATTATGGTGGAAAATAAGTATTTGGTCAATAACAAAAGTTTCTCAATACTTTGTTATATACCTTTTGTTGGCAATGACACAGGTCAAACGTTTTCTGTAAGTCTTCACAAGGTTTTCACACACTGTTGCTGGTATTTTGGCCCATTCCTCCATGCAGATCTCCTCTAGAGCAGTGATGTTTTGGGGCTGTCACTGGGCAACACGGACTTTCAACTCCCTCCAAAGATTTTCTATGGGGTTGAGATCTGGAGACTGGCTAGGCCACACCAGGACCTTGAAATGCTTCTTACGAAGCCACTCCTTCGTTGCCCGGGCGGTGTGTTTGGGATCATTGTCATGCTGAAAGACCCAGCCACGTTTCATCTTCAATGCCCTTGCTGATGGAAGGAGGTTTTCACTCAAAATCTCACGATACATGGCCCCATTCATTCTTTCCTTTACACGGATCAGTCGCCCTGGTCCTTTTGCAGAAAAACAGCCCCAAAGCATGATGTTTCCACCCCCATGCTTCACAGTAGGTATGGTGTTCTTTGGATGCAACTCAGCATTCTTTGTCCTCCAAACACGCCGAGTTGAGTTTTTACCAAAAAGTTATATTTTGGTTTCATCTGACCATATGACATTCTCCCAATCCTCTTCTGGATCATCCAAATGCACTCTAGCAAACTTCAGACGGGCCTGGACATGTACTGGCTTAAGCAGGGGGACACGTCTAGCACTGCAGGATTTGAGTCCCTGGCGGCGTAGTGTGTTACTGATGGTAGGCTTTGTTACTTTGGTCCCAGCTCTCTGCAGGTCATTCACTAGGTCCCCCCGTGTGGTTCTGGGATTTTTGATCACCGTTCTTGTGATCATTTTGACCCCACGGGGTGAGATCTTGCGTGGAGCCCCAGATCGAGGGAGATTATCAGTGGTCTTGTATGTCTTCCATTTCCTAATAATTGCTCCCACAGTTGATTTCTTCAAACCAAGCTGCTTACCTATTGCAGATTCAGTCTTCCCCAGCCTGGTGCAGGTCTACAATTTTGTTTCTGGTGTCCTTTGACAGCTCTTTGGTCTTGGCCATAGTGGAGTTTGGAGTGTGACTGTTTGAGGTTGTTGACAGGTGTCTTTTATACTGATAACAAGTTCAAACAGGTGCCATTAATACAGGTAACGAGTGGAGGACAAAGGAGCCTCTTAAAGAAGAAGTTACAGGTCTGTGAGAGCTAGAAATCTTGCTTGTTTGTAGGTGACCAAATACTTATTTTCCACCATAATTTGCAAATAAATTCATTAAAAATCCTACAATGTGATTTTCTGGATTTTTTTTCCTCAATTTGTCTGTCATAGTTGACGTGTACCTATGATGAAAATTACAGGCCTCTCTCATCTTTTTAAGTGGGAGAACTTGCACAATTGGTGGCTGACTAAATACTTTTTTTCCCCACTGTACACTACCAGTCAAAAGTTTGGACACACCTACTCATGCAATTTTTTACTAGAATAATATTGAACACATCACAACTATGAAATTACACATATGGAATCATGTCGTAACAAAAAAAGTGTTAAAGATTTTTGATTCTTCAAAGTAGCCACCCTTTGCCTTGATGACAGCTTTGCACACTCTTGGCATTCTCTCAACCATCCCAGTACGGCAGGCAAGACTCCTGTGGCATCATGGCAGCAGACAACGGGCCCTTCCAGGCCTGCCACACTAAGGTGAACTCGGCAGCATACGTGGTCCACTGTGTGTTTGACGTGTGTGCCATGGATAGGGACAGAGGGACCCTGTGTAAGAGCATCCAGGCCTACGCCATCGCCTGTCAGCTTGCTGGGGCCCAGATCCAGGCCTGGAGGAGCAGCTCCTTCTGCCGTGAGTCTGAACCATCATCAGCTGATCAGATGAGATTGAGATTACTCTAACCTTTTTACATGTTTAACTACTTTAACCATCCTGCAGAAAATTGTGATGTAGAAGTTATATACTGTATTAGTCTTGCATATTTAAATCCACTGTCAACTCTCTACTCTTTCATGGTAACCCCTTGCAGCTGTCTCCTGCCCAGCTAACAGCCACTACGAGCTGTGTTCCGACACCTGTGGTACTAGCTGTGCCAGCCTGGTAGACTCATTCACCTGCTCTGCTAGCTGCTTTGAGGGCTGCCCGTGCGATGTGGGCTTCGCCTCTGACGGCGACAAGTGTGTCTCCATGGATACGTGTGGATGCGTCTACGAAGGCCAGTATCTGAGGGTGAGGCTTTACATTTCATTGAAACCCCTTATTCATGCTAGATCACCCTATATAATAATGTGTATTGTACATGAATAGCACTGTTCTATATTTCCAGGTTGGCCAAGTGGTGGTAACCAAAGGCTGTGACTCTAAGTGCGTATGCCAGGCCTCAGGGCTGGTGAGGTATGAGAAACGTATCTGTGCCAGCGGAGAGGTCTGTGGGGTAAAGAATGAGGTCAGAGGATGCCAACTCAAACACGGGCACTGCATGGTCCACCCTGGTGCCCACTTCACCACCTTCGACTGCATGAGGGGGGTCATGGGGCTGGGGGCCTTTGAGGTGGCCTCTCTGTGTGACCAGACCTCTGCCCAGTGGTTCAGGGTGGTGGTGGACGTACGCGTCTGCAGTAACGGAGCCTATCCCAATGTGGCGACAGTCTACGTCTTCTTCAAGGATGTCACCGTCACTGTCAACAGCCAGCACAACACCTGGGTGAGTAAGGCTGAGGGAAGAGTGATGAGGGAGTGGATGAGACATACTCCACAGAGCACATTTACTGTAGCAGCTGTTAGGGCAAGGAAATTGAGATGTGACCATCACAAAATATAATTTTGATAACATCATTCCGTAATGGACATGACTGTCTTTGTCCTCTTCCTGTATCTCCCAGGTGAATGGAAAGAATGTGTCCCTCACCAGCACTCCAGCCAATCAGCTGTTTGTCAGCATCGCCGACAGGACAGTGGTCATCAAGAGGGTGTCTGGTGTGCGTGTTACCTACTCCATCTCCCAGGATACAAAGGTATTGTCAAGGACGACATGACAACAGCCGACAGGCAATCCTCCACAGATGTGACAGTGATTGTTAGCTCCTGGAGGCTGGGGACTTCTCTAGCTGGTGAGTGGTTGGCCTGTAGAGTATAATGATCTGTAACTCTTGTTATAGAGCAGTTGTATAACAAGAGGTAATGTACATAGAACATAACTACAGTATTCCCTCAGTGTCCAGTCATAATATTTACTTTAATCCTATGCCTAGTAGAAGTGATTTCTCTTTCTCTACAATACTGTAAACTACTTGCTATTCCACATGAGCTGTTAGCCTCAACTTATCCTCATTCCCTCTTAAAATGATTCATCTTGAACTCCATCTTGCCCTTTATTATGCTAAGTGCAAATGTAATTGGACCATTGCAATAAGCACAACGAGATGGGTATGCAGCGATGCTAGGACCATTCAACTGTTTGTCTTAAAAAACAAGTACCTGTCACGCCCTGACTCAAGGGACGTTTATTTGTTGAGTCAGGAGGTGTATATTCCATGTTGTGTTTGTTTATTGTTATAGATTCTATGATGTGTAGATCTATGTTGGCCGGGGTGGTTCCCAATCAGAGGCAGCTGTAGCTTGTTGTCTCTGATTGGGGACCATACTTAGGCAGCCTTTTGGCATGAGTTAGATTTGGGATCTTGTTCCGTGTGAGGTATGTTATTTGTCTACCTTGGACGTCACGTTCGTTTGTTGTTTTGGTTGTGCGTTTATTCGTGAAATAAATATGAATGCATATCACGCTGCGCCTTGGTCCTTCTCGTTCATGAACGATCGTGACAGTACCAAACAAGGAGCCTGCTGCGTCCTTTTTTAATGGAATGAAAGTGTGGTTTTTAATTGCATTTGGCCCAATTTAATGAAGAAACGACATAATCCCTGCGGTAATTACTGATTAAAAAACAGGTGAGACCGACGGGCTGGGCCATCAAAACGCTCCCAACCTTGTCATGACATCACTGCTCGTCATCCCAAGGACACCTAAAACGTACTAATTTGAGCCTTCCATCTTCAATGTTGTGTGGCAGCCCAAAGTCTGTCAGTTGGGTTGGTGGTGGTGGGGGGCTTCTTGTAGCTTGCTATGGCTTAATGTTAGCCATTCCCCTCTGCTTCAATGCGCTGTTGTCTTTGTTGTCACTCTGTTTTGCCACTTTGTGAGCTGGCCCTGATTGCCCACTGTGGATTGCATCTCCATTATAAAATACATTCTGCTGCATAGTCATAGGCATATTGTCCAGCGATGTTTCTCTTGAGTGCCTGCATTAGGCTGGCTCTTCTCTAAACTTCAGTCCCCTGAGTGTTCTTCTTATTACCCGTTTGTATTCAGAGCGGTCGGGTGGATGTGTGTCTTCTGGCTCGCTTCCAGTGGCCTGGAACTTGGATGGAGTTATCTCTAATTGCCTCTTCTTTTTAATTGCATTGGCCTGTAAGAATGCGAATTCTCCATCTACACACTCTATCTGAACTCTACAATGGACTAATTTTTCCTCCTGATATTTTCTCCTGTATCTTTGAATATTGCATTTCCACTTGCTTAGAGCAATAGTAACAACAAGAGTGTGAAGTCACTCAACTTTGGTGTATCGTTTCTATGTACAGTGATTTGCAAAAATGAAGGCTCGTATTCATTAGATTTTTTTTTTTGTCAAATCTTACTATAAAATACACCCTTTCACCTACATATGATCATGCAAATGTTAAAGTCTGATATTGTACAACTAAAATTGCTTATGCACAAATAAAGTACTACGTTCAAATACACTTTCCAATTCATCAAATACCTTTATTTTGTTCACCTATCTCAATTAAATTCTATGTGAGGTCTTGTCCACTTCAGCTAATTAACAACACAAAATGAAATATCTTATGTTTTTTTTACTACTTTATTAAAAATAAAGCTTCACCCATTTTGAATGTTATATTGTATTTGTGCATCTCTGAGCGATGTTCTATAGATTCCCTAGGTGTTTTCATATGTATCTGAGCTATTGCTGTTCAAGCAGGCAGAAATGTGTCTGGTATGACGTAGCGTTGCGATAAAGCCACTCTCACTACACTGGAAGTTAATAGGAATATTACTTTTAAGGCTGGTTTACAGTCCGTCTATCAACATGTCTGTAGACAATTGTCATAGCGACATCATGAACATTCTACTGTCGTCTGACATCAATCTGACATCAAACTATGAAAAAGTATAAACACAAAACGACAGCCTCAGCATGACATCAGCAGTCCGCTGCTCCAAATAGCATACGTTGCCTACTTTAACACCAATAAATCCATCAGTTTCAAAAATGAATTCAGTAAATATCAACCTAGCAAGCCTGGCAACTAAAAGCAATTGTCTAAACAATGTTTTGGATTGTTGTTAGAAAATATTTACTAAATAAACTAAAGTACAAAATAAAATAAAAAGTAACACAATAAAATAACAATAATGAGGCTATATACAGGGGGTGCCGGTACCGAGTCAATGTGCGGGGGTACAGGTTAGTCAAGGTTATTTGTACATGTAGGTAGGGGTGAAGTGACTATGCACAGATAATAAACAGCGGTTAGTCTACCATTTGAAGTATTTTAATAAGCCTATGTGGTCTAAAAAATAAGGTAAATACAAGCGCGAGGATCCACTTTTATAGACAATATACCGACGCACAGACAGCGCATTGCGCAAACAAAACAACCCTTGCAATATGAACTGGATTTACATGGTTCTATTACAGAAGTTTTTGTTGCAAAACATTTTTTGAATTTAATTAATTAATTAATTATTAATTAATTAATATGCCATTTAGCAGACGCTTTTATCCAAAGCAACTTACAGTCATGCGTGCATACATTTTTGTGTATGGGTGGTCCCGGGGATCGAACCCACTACCTTGGCGTTACAAGCGCCGTGCTCTACCAGCTGAGCTACAGAGGACCACCCATACACATGGGAAGAGACTGTCACTGGCAAACATGGTTACCGACCCAACTACATTATATAATATCCCTGTCACGAACGTTGAGAGACGGGTCGGACCAAGGTGCAGCGTGAAAAGCGTACATGTTTATTCACCAAATAAACATACAAACCAAAAGAAGAAACAACGTAACGTGAAGTCCTCCGGCCACACACACACACACACACACACACACACACACACACACACACACACACACACACACACACACACACACACACACACACACACACACACACACACACACACACACACACACACACACACACACACACACACACACACACACACACACACACAAGCCTAAACGGAACAAGATCCCACAATACACAGTAGGCAATGGGCTACCTAAGTATGATCCCCAATCAGAGACAATGAGCGACAGCTGCCTCTGATTGGGAATCATACCCGGCCAGACATAGAAATAGGAAAACTAGAACCTAAACATACAAATTCTAACATAGATACTCACGCCCTGACCAAACCAACTAAAGACAACCGGCCTCTCAAGGCCAGGGCGTGAAAATCCCCTCCTCGTGGAGAAAAACACATGAGCTAATTATAATACACAAAGTAAGCAAAAACAATTAAATGCATCATTCCAACATTGCCTAAAATTATGAATAAGATACTAATGAGAGAGATCTATATAAGCAAAATAACAATTGAGAAACTACGGCAGAAGGGAACGATGAGCAGATCAGAGGCAAGCCGTAATTTCGATTAAGACAATGAGCGGGCTAAGACAGACGTAGTCGATCTGCCTATTTGTTCAGCACATTTGAAATGGACAGAGACAGAATTCAGAACATGGGCCGTTCTTACAGTATTCTCCCAGTACACCAAGTCAGAACCGTAGGATAAATAACGGGGGCATTTAAGCAGACAATGAAAGCTCTTACAATATTCAATTATATTTCTCTAAAACAGGCTATAGGATACATGTGCACCACCAAGTCAGAACAGTAGGCTAAGTTCTGCGGGGGAGAGAGACAAAATTCTTAAGGTGAGACACATGGGCTACTAACCGCTTACTACACAACATACACTTAGTATTACTTTCTTAGCTACAGTATACATATCTCCCTGGCATATTACATTTATGCAGCAGCATACAATACATATTTATGGACTCACTATTGTGCTGTGCTCACTTGAACAGGAAGGGGGCGCAGCACTCCATCTTGTGGGCAAACTTTGTCATCAAGAAGTCGTGCTGGATTGACAGCATGGCCAATGTATTCAACCTTTTCTGGCCCATGGTGTTGCATGTGAATGTTTATCCTCTTAAGCTTGGGAAAGAGACCCTTCAGAAAGATGTTTTAAATCCTTAAATCCAAACTTGGACCACACACCCTCTCCACCGAATAGCAGCAGCGGAAGCAAAAATAGTGATCGCTTTGCGACGCTCGCAGTTAGCCACTGATTCCTTACAAACCACTCATTGTTGTATTTGCGACTTGAGTCATGTTTATCTCCAACGGTCAATGAGCACCGAGATGTTTTATCTATAATTTATCTTCATATGACAAGGATTTAAAAAGATTTGCCAGTAGATTGCAGATGTGATTCATTATAAATGCTTGTCTAGCTAGCTAGCTTGCTAGCTAAGATTTTGAAATTATGATGTTGACATGATCAGTCCAATCAAAGCTATGGTAGATATAACGTGATTTGACATCATTTTATCTGTGGCCAATGACCTTGAGCCTTCTTGGATGGGCCCTTATGTAAATCTATGGCAGCACCCAAGGGGGCTTCAACTGCATAGCTCTCCCTGTAGATTCTCTGGTGACGTAGTGTCCCCATGAATGACACAACCCTGAGCCAATCACGGCGCAATTAGAGAAGATTTCCAATGCCTACGCTCTGTGCTTTCGCTGGCTGCCCCTCCACCACAGAAAGCAATGAGCTAGGCTGAAACACCTGCATTTTGGAGATGCCTTACTCAAGAAAGAGACCATGTTTGTATGTGACTTTATTAACTGAAGGATGTATTTATTTTTTGATTGTTTGCAAACTGATATGTAACACTAATTAATGCCAGAATAACATGCAAAACAGGCCCTTTTTTTGTTAAACGGGTGGAGCTCTGCCCCACCTGCCCTGAATGACAGGTCGCCACCGCACCAGAGCATAATTAAATGTAGTTTTGACCAGCCACACTTGTCGCATTCTAATTGTCTACAGACATGTCGTTAGACCAAGTATAAACTGGCCTTTAGGTTGCAAAAACGTCTATCATACAGATTTCTATACTGGCCGATGTCATAACGCAGGAGGTTGTCTTTTCTTGAATGAGCCATTGATCATATTTTTTTGATATTCCTACCATGAGAAATGTGTAATTTAACAGAGGGTCTAAAACATTTATCCTATTTGTCTGCCTTTTCAGTCCAGGGTGCATTGCATGGTGCCGTTGCGAATGTCAGACTCCACTCTGTGGCACACTGATCAGCAGGTTGAACATGGTGAGATTGTAGACTCCTAAGTTGATAGTGGAGTTTGTTTAGGTGATTTTAGAGCCAACTAGCTACTTCACATACTGATATTGACTTTGGTATTATTGTGTATAGCTACGTTTGCTACCTAGTTAGCTATCCAGCCCATTGAAAGAACATTGCATTGTGGGCTTTTGTAGTCGACTTGAGCTGGAACAGACTTCCACAACTATTTGCACATGTTGTTATCAACCTTATTATAACAACAAAATGAAAAATTTGTTCACAAAAATATTTTTCTCACATATAAATTATAGGAATGAGTGGTTTTGGGTAGATTGTTCCTTTAAAAGTTAACATATAATAATAATAATAACATATAACACTACATTTACCGTGTACCAATAGCTCCACCTAGCAATTGTTCTTGAAATATTTTGTTTCATTATCGTTGATTTGATTAATGTATGGTACCGTTTATGTTATGGAGAATGTCATTTGTCATTCATTCATTTTTTTTGTTGCTCAATTGGATTAACTCTGGTTTGTTTCTGGATGTGGAGCTACGCCTACATAATCAGAAGAAATAATAGAGAATGATAGGGGCCTCTAGTGGCCAAAAGGCTGTATTAGCATGGCCAGTGCCATTGAGGGCTTCCATTATTTTAATGTAGTCAACTGGGTGGTACTTCCAACTTCATTGGCTGATCCCTCATGGTGACCCTGTTGGAGTCATGTCCAACCGGGTCATCAGGAGGGATCAGCCGATCGTGAAGAAGACAAGTGACTACTTTAAAATGGACATGGCCTCAATGGCCTCAAACATGTTTTCACATTTGCTATGAAAAACACAGATACAAAAATGAGTCCTCTATCTATCTCTATGGAAGGAATAGATATCTCTATGGAAGGAATAGATAAAAAATAGGTGTGATCAATCAGTAAGCCTAATGAAGCAGACTGTAGACGAAGGTCGGCAAGTGAAGTCGGAGGTGCATCTGTGACAGCCGAAAGTCGTACACTAGCTAGGTTCCATCCAAAAACTGGCGACTAATTTTCAAGGGAATGTTGTAAAATATGCATAAAGAAAATATGCACATTTTCCCACCAGTGGTGTGTTTGCACCAAACGGAATTGTTGAGGATACAAATCAGTGTGTGATGACATAGTGCTCAGACTTTTCCGCTTTAGTTTTCATGTACCGAATAAAATCGAATGTTCAATGTGTTTCCATTGCATTTTCAACTCTACCGATAGTTTTGTCACAAACTGTTGCATTAAATAGCAAATGTGTGTACTCTTGGCATGTTCACTCTAGACAACAGCTTGCAGATACAGTGAGGGCAGGCTCTGAGGGTAGGTTAGTCTACATGATTAGATTATTATTGATAAGAACAATAATATTTTTATTTGTCAGTAAAGCATCGATCTCCGTAGCTCAGCTGGTAGAGCACGGCGCTTGTAACGCTAAGGTAGTGGGTTCGATCCCCGGGACCACCCATAAACAAAAATGTATGCACGCATGACTGTAAGTCGCTTTTAGATAAAAGCGTCTGCTAAACGGCATATTATTATTATCATATCACCAGAATAAGACCCTCAACATTTATTGGAAAGAAGCATCAAGCTCATACCGTGCACTTTCAACACCCTGTGAAGTTCATCATAATATCCAGGTGCGCTATTCATTCAACTTCCTCATCCAGTTCAACATCGACTAAAGGGCTCCCCCTGGCGGGCCATCCAGGTGCGCTATACAGTCCGTCTTGGCGCCCTCGAGTGGATGTTGAGCGGGATGCAAACCGCACACACACCATGCGTTTAAAATGTTTAAACGCGTTTTCCAACACCCTAGTAATTCGGTGACAGAATCTGCGTTTGTTTGGGGAAAGCAAACATAAAAATAGACGAGTTGGTGGTAAGGTTGTTTACCTCTCAGTAGCAGGGTAATTTTGGAGGGTAGATTGCATTTCCTCTCATACCAACCCCTAACCCCTCCCCCCTCTTTCCTTCGCCAGACGCTCAAATCTACCAGACTACGAAAACCTTGCTCGATGTTTCAGGAGAAAATTTTCAGGACCAGACTTTGATAATTTTTCATCAATTTATGAACTAAGTACGGTGTTTTTGTGGCGGTAAATTAGAACACAAGAAACATTGTTTCTGAAGGAGCGCACTGGGCGGAGGCAAAGCGGCGACCCAAGCCTTCTAATTATTAATCTAATTTCCACATAGTCTTTTCCATTAATTGGACTTCTGACAGGTAATTTGTTTTCATTTGCCATAAATCTGGTTCCAACGGTTATTTTCCCCGTTAAAACGTGAACAACCAGGCTACAAAAACGTGACTGCTCTGACAGGCTGTTATACGTGTGATTTGGGAAAGGAATCTGTTATTGACCTGTGCGCACAGCTTTACAGTTTGTGAATAAATTGCTAAACTTATTTAAATAGCCTTGCAAGTAAGCCATATTTTCCTTTTGGTTTAAGGACATTTAGTCTATAGAATGTCCCCCATATCATTACATATACAACCATTTCTAAATATCACTGAGAGCACGTGACCATACATTTTTTATGTATTTATTTAACTTCGATTTTATCAGGGAGTCCTACTGAGACCAAGGTATATTTTACAGATGAGCCCTGAATTACTTAAATTACAGAAAATACATACATCAAAATATAAATACAAAATGTAAGTAGAAAGAAAAACGAGGTCATAAAAAAAAACCACATTCTGAATTGCCCTAGAGGCACCAGAACATCAAATGTAAAAACATTTTGAAGATTGTTCCACAAATAACGTGCAAGAAAAGTAAATCAACTTTTAGTTAACTCATCAATATGCTTTTTAAAAGACAGCTTTTCATCTATCCAGAAGCCCAGATATTTGTAAGCAGGGACATGATCAATATGGACACCATCCAAAGTACATATAATCAGTTATATTTATGCGCTCTGGAGAACAACATGTGCTTAATTTTACCTGCATTCAATACTAATTGCAGGTCAATAAGGTTTTTCTGTAATACAATGAAGGCAGACTGTAGGTCAGATAGAGCCTGGTCAACCATTGGGGCAATAGTATACACAACAGTATCATCAGCATGCAAGTGCAGGATAACATTTTTGACACAAGTCAATATTGTTAATGTAAAAAGTACAGGACCCAGAATCGACCCCTGCGGGACAACTTTCGTAATATCCAGGAAACCTGATTTAACACTATCAGTTGATACACATTGAGTTATATCGGTCAAGTAATTTTTAAACCAGTTACATGCAGCCTGGTCTCGACCAATTGAAGAAAGCCTCTGAATTAGCGGTGACTGATCAACAGTATCAAAAGCCTTTGACAGGTCAATGAAGAGGGTAGCACAATGTTGCCTTTTATCCATAGAGTAAACCACATAATTTATAACTAATGATGCAGCAGAGGTAGTGAGTGCTATGACCTGGTCTAAAACCTGACTGATGTACATTTAGAATACATTTGAAAGGTAAGAAAGATGTTAGCTGAGAATTAATCAAGGGTTCAAATATTTTAGCTAGGCAAGACAGTTTAGAAATAGCATACATGACATAAGCCAATGACTGTATGGCAGCGATCATCAACAAGATTCAGCTGCGGGATGATTTTTACTTGAGCGCATGGTCAGTGGGCCGGAACATAATTACAAATAATTTGTAGACCGCAAGAAGCCCAAATAGATACACTATATATACAAAAGTATGTGGACACCCCTTCAAATTAGTGGATTTGGCTATTTCAGCCACACCCGTTGCTGACAGGTGTATAAAATTGATCACACAGCCATGCAATCTCCATAGACAAACATTGGCAGTAGAATGGCCTTACTGAAGAGCTCAGTGACTTTCAACGTGGCACCGTCATAGAATGCCACCTTTCCAACAAGTCAGTTGGTCAAATTTCAGCCCTGCTAGAGCTGCCCCGGTCAACTGTAAGTTATGTTATTGTGAAGTGGAAACATCTATGAGCAACAATGGCTCAGCTGCGAAGTGGTAGGGAATGGGACCGGCGTGTGCTGAAGCGCGTAAAAACATCTGTCCTCGGTTGCAACACTCACTACTGAGTTCCAAACTGCCTCTGGAAGAAACGTCAGCACAAGAACTGTTCGTCGGGAGCTTCATGAAATGGGTTTCCATGGCCGAGCAGCCGCACACAAGCCTAATATCACCATGTGCAATGCCAAGCGTCGGCTGGAGTGGTGTAAAGCTTGCTGCCATTGGACTTTGGAGCAGTGGAAACCCGTTCTCTGGAGTGATGAATCACGCTTCGCCATCTGGCAGTCTGACGGACATATCTGGGTTTGGCTGATGCCAAGAGAACGCCACCTGCCCGAATGCATAGTGCCAACTGTAAAGTTTGGTGGAGGAGAAATAATGGTCTGGGGCTGTTTTTCATGGATTGGCCTAGGCCCCTTAGTTCCAGTGAAGGGAAATCTTAATGCTACAGCATACAATTACATTCTAGACAATTCTGCGCTTCCAACTTTGTGACAACAGTTCGGGGAAGGCCCTTTCCTGTTTCAGCATGACAATGCGCCTGTGCACAAAGCGAGGTCCATACAGAAATGGTTTGTCGAGATTGGTGTGGAAGAACTTAACTGGCCTGCACAGAGCCCTGACCTCAACCCCATCGAACACCTTTGGGATGAATTGGAACGCAGACTGCGAGGCAGGCCTATTTGCCCAACATCCGTGCCCCACCTCACTAATGCTGTTGTGGCTGAATGGAAGCAAGTCCCAACAGCAATGTTCCAACATCTAATGGAAAGCCTTCCCAGAAATGTGGAGGCTGTTATAGGAGCAAAGGGGGGACCAATTCCAAATTAATGCCCATGATTTTGGAATGAGATCTTCGATGAGCAGGTGTCCACATACCTTTGGTCATGTAGTGTATAATATTTGAGTAAAACATAATCATTTCAAACCTTGCTTATATTTGTATATGGTCACATATCTCTCTATTATGCATGGGAATACTTTGGAATATATTTACACAATTAAAATCACTTGGAGCTGATTTGCTGTTGTTTTTACAGGCTTTCATGTCCAACAATAAAACTCATTTTAAAACTTTTTTTGCTCAGAAAACTTGGGTGACCAAAGAAAATCACCCGCGAGCCAAATTGGGCTGCAGGCCGCCAGTTAGGGAACCCTGCTGTATGGCATAGGCATGCTGTACCATAACTGTTCAAAACTGACTAGCCTAGTCTACTTTTCTTACTTTTTATTTGTCCTTTTCAGTGCAGGCAAAATGCAATAAACTCCCAAATCTCCAGGCATGAGAGGTAGCTATCTATAGCCTAGTAGGCTAGATGAAAATCATGACTGAGGTTAAAAGCATTTTCTAAGAATAACTTAGTTTAAACTTTGTTTACTTGAGGGTGAGCCCAGTCCTCTTTAAAGTAGAATGCTGTAACAAACAATATTATTGGCCTTTGCTATAACTCTTGCAGTATTTGGTAGATTAAGATATTGATTGGCAGTCCTTTGTTGTTAATCCTGTTCCTAAGGCCTGGTTTCAGTGTTTAAAACCCTGTTTCTCTCTAAACCATGCCACACTGCTCCAACTCAGAAACCATAAGTATGAATAGTTATAGTCACTGTGTGGAACAGCTTCTCTATGCCTTGGGCTAGGGAGGGAACAGATAGGGTCTGTGCCAAAAGACGGGCTCTGATCAGAGTCAGTGGGGCTAATCGTTTTAATGACTGTATGTCAGATTATTATGTTAACTACATTGACAGCCATCTGATGCCCATCACAGTATGGTATGCCTTCATATGGAAATCTACTAAATGTACAGGATGAGTTCTGCCCCCACATCTGCTGCCAGGGTAGTTCTTAATGATCATATATCAGTTGGACAGAAGTCCTGAGGTCACTGACTTCATCTGACAGGTTTTGATGGAATTAATACATTATTAGATATATAACAAGGCTAATTTGTATGTTCACCGTTCAATTCTCCCAAAATCCCACAATCATGTTCTGCACATGAATCAAATATGCTCACAGTTCCCTAGAGATTAGTGTCAGGTGAGAAAAATGTTCTGCAGCACTCCAACAAACAAGATTTTGTTTAAAGAAACATGTAGGCTTATCTGCTGTCTGTAACAATACTCAGGACACTGCCTGCCTAGGGTGCCAATGCCTCCACACACAACACTCCAGTGTGGGAGTTTTGGTTTAAGAGCCACGACCAGTAAACACATGATGTGAAAATCTAGAAGACGGGCTTGGGCGAACATCTGTAGAAAGAATGGCCTATGTGTGAAAAACAGACTGTAGCGGTATGTCATACCGTCGTGAGCAGTGACTGCACATGTCATACCGTCGTGAGCAGTGACTGCACATGTCATACCGTCGTGAGCAGTGACTGCACATGTCATACCGTCGTGAGCAGTGACTGCACATGTCATACCGTCGTGAACAGTGACTGCACATTCCAACTGAAAAAAGTTACAGTGCCTTCAGAAAGTATTCACACCCCTTGACTTTTTCCACATTTTGTTGTTACAGCCTGAATGGGTGAAACGTAGATTTGTTTGTCACTGGCTTACACACAATACCCCATAATGTCAAAGTGGAAATATGTTTTTCAACATTTTTACAAATTAATTAAAACTGAAATGTCTTGAGTCAATAATTATTCAACTCCTTTATTATGGCAAGCCTAAATAAGTTCAGGAGTAAAACATTTGCTTAATAAATCACTTAATAAGTTGCATGGACTCACTCTGTGTGCAATAATAGTGTTTAACATGATTTTTTGAATGACTACCTCATATCTGTACCCCACACATACAATTATCTGTAAGGTCCCTCAGTCGAGCAGTGAATTTCAAACACAGATTCAAACACAAAGACCAGGGAGGCTTTCCAATGCCTCGCAAACAAGGGCACCCACTGGTAGATGGGTACTGTATGTCTTCAACCCACTGACCAAATATCAAGTGCAACTCAACCCGGGTCTCTCCCCGCTGCACCCCAATACTGCCAGGACAGGACACCCGTGTTCTACGGTGCAGAGACTGAAATAGCCCCCTCTTCCTTTACCCTGAGTCAGGAGCTAATAACATAAAGAGATCATGGGGGAACTGTTTAAGTCTAGCAGCAACAGACCATGGCCTCCATATTCCTAACGGGTCAGCTATAAGATCACAAGATGTTGGGTTATTCGAAAGCATCTGCTCAATGTTTAATTGCTCCCCACTGGTCAGGGGCACAAACAAGTAATGTGAAGTCAAGAATAAGTGCTAATTCTGTAGATGACCCTTTCCCTGTAGTTTCATTTCTTGAGGGAGATTGGCGCGATTTCAAGAACTTTCTTTGATAGTGAAGTGTTAAAGTTGCAGGGTGTTGTGACTAGCTCTGCTAGGAGACTGTCCCCTCAGATACAAAGCTGTATGTGTTCAGCAACAAGGCTTACGTTAAACCACCGGGATCTGCACCTATTCCCCCCACAACCACACCTGTCAGACACTGGTGGTGGGAGAACTTCAACACTCCTCTGTTCAGGACAACTATGTAAGCCTGTTATGTTTCCTCATTATGGGCCCAGCAGTCTTTCCATTACGTTATGCTTGAAATATGTCTTTGTCATGTATCAACATGAGTCCTTCCAGGGGATTGAACTTGGTTCTCAAATAAAGTATTTGCTTTATGTTTTGCCATTTTTCTACAACACTTTCAGTCTTGTCTTTGTGAGGTCCTTAATGTTTCTGGTGGTTGTTTCCCCCTTGTCTCCAGGTGACATGGATATTTCTCTGTTGGTGGCATTCTGCTCCTGTGTTTCTCCTGCTTTGGGTGAGCTTTTTCCTTTCACGTACTTTCACTTTCTTTGTTTGAGCTTTTCTCTCAAATGACTCCAGCACTTGAATGGTGACTGAGGAACCAGACAAATGCATTTGTAGTCACTGACGGTGCTGTTATTAGTATTGGTACAGTGTAGCAGACTAAAAACATGTCATTCACAGTGTGGTTGAGGGTACTATAATGTATTTTTTAGAGTACGGGAGGAAAAAGTATGAAAATGTATGCACTCACTACTAAGCAGTGTGTCTGCCAAATGACTAAAATGTCCAAATGAGTGCCAGTGATGATCTGGTCTCTGGTCTGTCTGTACTAACAGGGTCAGGATTTGGCAGGGAGATGCCAGGTAAGTTGGCAATGCATTGGATGCCTCAGTTGTGTCATAAAGGAATGAGAAATGCAGTCTGTCTGCCTTGGAATGGACACAGAATGCACGGCCATCTTTGTTTTTTGCTTATCAGTTGCCCTAGAGCAGTGTTTCCCAACTCCAGTCCTCGAGTACCCCTTTTTTTTTTCAGTACACATTTTTATCGTAGCCCTGGACAAGCACACCTGATTCAACTTGTCAACTAATCATCAAGCCCTCGATGAGTTGAATCAGGTGTTCAACAAAAATGTGTGCTGTTGGGAAACACTGCCCTAGAGCAGGGTTTCCCAACCCTCTCCTTGGGCCCATCCAGACTTTTCACATTTTTGTTTTAACACGAAACTGGCACGGTCATTGACAGTGCATTGTTTCCCCTAGGATTTTTTTCAGCAGCGGTGGGGTGAGGTTGGGGGTTGCAGCGGATGGGTTCTACCTGGGGCATACATGTACATTATATATACACTACCAGTCAAAGTTTGGACACACCTACTCATTCAATGGTTTTTCTTTATTTTTACAATGTTTTACATTGTAGAATAATAGTGAAGACATCAAAACTATGAAATAACACATATGGAATCATGTAGTAAACAAAAAAAGTGTTAAACAAATCAAAATATATTTTAAATTTGAGATTCTTCAAATAGCCACCCTTTGCCTTGATGACAGCTTTGCACACTCTTGGCATTCTCTCAACCAGCTTCAGCTGGAATGCTTTTCCAACAGTCTTGAAGGAGTTCCCACATATGCTGAGCACTTGTTGGCTGCTTTTCCTTCACGCTGTGGTCCGATTCATCCCAAACCATCTCAATTGGGTTGAGGTCGGGGGATTGTGAAAGCCAGGTCATCTGATGCAGCACTCCATCACTCTCCTTCTTGGTAAAATAGCCCTTACACAGCCTGGAGGTGTGTTGGGTCATTGTCATGTTGAAAAACAAATGATAGTCCCACTAAGCCCAAACCAGATGGGATGGCGTATCGCTGCAGAATGCTTTGGTAGCCATGCTGGTTAAGTGTGCCTTGAATTCTAAATTAATCACAGACTAATTAAGCACCCCCACACCATAACACCACCTCCTCCATGCTTTACGGTGGGAAATACACATGCGGAGATCATCCGTTCACCCACACCGCGTCTCACAAAGACATGGCGGTTGGAACCAAAAATCTCAAATTTGGACTCCAGACCAAAGGACAAATTTCCACCGGTCTAATGTCCATTGCTCGTGTTTCTTGGCCCAAGCAGGTCTCTTCTTCTTATTGGTGTCCTTTAGTAGTGGTTTCTTTGCAGCAATTCGACCATGAAGGCCTGATTCACACAGTCCCCTCTGAACAGTTGATGTTGAGATGTGTCTTTTACTTGAACTCTGTGAAGCATTTATTTGTGCTGCAATTTCTGAGGCTGGTAACTCTAATGAACTAATCCTCTGCAGCAGAGGTAACACTGGGTCTTCCATTCCTGTGGTGGTCCTCATGAGAGCCAGTTTCATCATAGCGCTTGATGGTTTTTGCAACTGCACTTGAAGAAACTTTTAAAGTTCTTGACATTTTCCGTATTGACTAACCATCATGTCTTAAAGTAATGATGGACTGTTGTTTCTCTTTGCTTATTTGAGCTGTTCTTGCCATAATATGGACTTGGTCTTTTACCAAATAGGGCTATCTTCTGTATACCCCCCCACCCCCCCCCCACCCCACCCCACCTTGTCACATCACAACTGATGGCTCAAACGCATTAAGATAGAAAGAAATTCCAGAAATTATCTTTTAAGAAGGCACACCTGTTAATTGAAATGCGTTCCAGGTGACTACCTCATAAAGCTGGTCGAGAGAATGTTTAACACTTTTCATAGTTTTGGTGTCTTTACTATTATTCTACAAATAGTAAAATTAAGAAAAACCCTGGAGTAGGTGTGTCCAAACCTTTGACTGGTACTGTATAAAGAAAAATGTTACTTTTTTTATTTTTCAGTGGTGGGTGGCCAATGCAAATAGGGGAGACACTGCAGTGTGATAGAGGGAAGTGTGTAGTGTCATATATTTTAGCAAACTGTAGTGTCTTTAGAGTGCCAGTGATTAAAGAATGAGCTAGTCTCTGGTCTGTCTGTGTACTAACAGGGTCATCTATAGGCAGGGACATGCCAGGTAAGTGTGTTGTATTGGATGCCTCAGTGGTGTCATAAAGGAATGCTGTCTGTCTTGGAATGGACACTGAGAATGCATGGCCATATTTGTTATTGGCTGGTCAGTTGCCCTAGAGCAGGGTTTCTCTCCCTGGGTGCAGATTTTGTTTTTTGCCCTAGCACTACACAGCTGATTCAAATAAACAACTCATCATCAAGCTTTGATTATTTGAAGAATGCTATGGCAAAAAAACTGGTTGTCTAGGTCTTAATTGAAAGGAAAGACCAGAAGACACTAGGCCCTCTATGGAATGAGTTTGACACCCCTGCCCTAGAGTATGGCTGTCTATAGAGTAACTAGCTTTGCTCTGTCTGTACTTACAGATTGCACAACTATATTGATTAAGTACTATTGTGTAAGGATTTCAAGTTATGATTAAATCCAGTTCATTTGAAATAGGCTAATCTAGACTGCTGTAAGAAAGAGCTTTTGCTTTCCTGGCCAGGATTAGGCATTTTCTCATGTGAGGGATTTGAGTAATCAGTCATTTGGTATGCAGCCAAGCCTCCCATATTGTAGTAGCATGTGGCACTAGGCACTCCTACACTGTACTTTGGGTTGTGTTGTGCTGACTTGTTCCTGAGCAGATTGCCCTACATTAGTTGTTTTTCTCCTCAGTCAACAGGGTGATTTGGGCAGGATATAAGTTCCCCTGGTAATGGAGAGGGTTGACACCAAACGGAAGTGTTTGTTGGACATTAGGCTTATCTACTGCACCATAAAAAGCCCTGCTGGCTCGGGTTGTCGTTCTCTGACATCCTTTAGAAGAAAACAAAATGAAAATGTCAGCAGATACGAGATGAGCCAATCAGAGGAACATTTCATTGTTAAGAGAGCTGAACATTGATTAGTGTACTTGGAATCTTCAAGAAGGGGTTATTTTATCTCTGTACTCCATGAAGCAGGAGTAATTTATTTATTGTTTGGTGATCCAGATAACGTGACATCCATGTAATTTAGATTCTTAATCTAAATGGTATTGTAAGGAAAAATGTGACCTTTGGTTGATTCCCAAATGGTTACTCGCACTGCACAAGCCAACATGTATGCGCGCACCACGCACACACCACACACACACACACACACACACACACACACACACACACACACACACACACACACACACACACACACACACACACACACACACACACACACACACAGGTAAAGTCTGCTTTATTACAGTGCCTACCTAAGATGACATTGGTCACTGGCCTTAGAAATGACTGCAGAGTGGGTATGGTTATTAATGCATCAGGACTTGCAACTCTGTGTGGTGTCTTGCATCATTGTAGCATTTCCATGAATAACTGCTTTCAACAGAGCTTCTTATTGAACACTGCATTTTGCAGCTTCCCCTTTACTCATATGAGGAGAGAGGCACCTGAGTGTTGCCAGATTGTATTTAAAAGCATGCACTGTATATCATATCACCCAGTGATGTAATCTGTGTTAGTGCATGCACCATTCCTAAACCTTCAGTACAAGTGGACCGTATTTTTTAAAAGCACAGAACACTACAACAGGCTTACTATCATGTGTACAGTAGTCACTAGTTACATTCAATGCAAACCTCTGGAACACTTGACTACAGTTCTGAAAGTAAACAGAGCCTAAAATCAGTTATGAAAGCTTCATAGTTCACACCAAGCACACAGTCAGAGCTAATGTCTGTCAATCACTAATGCTTTCTGTCTTTTCTTTTTCAGCATCAACGATGGATGAAAAAGGTAAAGGTTTCTTGTTTCAAATTACTGTATCGATTGTATTTCACTTTAATGAGCATGTTGGCAAAGAGTTAAATCACATACATTTTGGTCACTCGCCATCTTTTTCACACCAGTTGCACTCAACTCAGTTAAGGTTTGAATTAGTTTAGCTCCAAACTTGGTATGTAAGTTTCCATTGAAAGGGACCACTATGAGTGTGTGCGATTTAAATTAGATTTAATTCCAGCGGTTCCTTTACAATGCATTCCATCTGGCGTCATGCACAGCTCTGTCGCCAATCTGCTTTGGCTGCCGAGGGGACAAGTGGTCTAATGTGCCTTTTTTAATACTGTAGTTACAATTTCAATGTACACTGAATAACTGTGAATAATAACATTCTACAAAATGCAGAGTCACTAAGTTCATATGGTTTTTGATGTATTCCATCTCCTCCTCCTCTTCTCCCCTCCCAGACTATGACGCTGCGTTTCACTATGGTGAGTGGGGAATGGATCAACATGGACTAACTCCACAGGGGGCAAACGTGACACTTCTCAGGAAATATTTGGGAGGTCAAGAAGGCTCGCATTTTCCCTCCATTTTTTCAGGAGCGTCGGAAAACATTGACCCCTCGGGCCACGCTTCCGTAGTTCAACTGACAAACAGTTATAGTCCCGCCCACTGTTGTAGTAGCCTCATTTCTAAACACATCACAACCATTATAGAGATTCTGTCATCAAACCCGTTCATTGCTCTATCCTGTCTTCAGTAGGTCTATGCATTCTCAGACACATTATAGGATGTATTCAGCTCTTACAGTGAATATTCTTCCATGTTTGAGGCAGTAATATCAATCAGACTATAGATATCTATAGGTATGAACCTGATGGATATATGAATCGTGGCATAAACAGTAGGAGCATATGTTTGAATGATCTCATAGGAATGTGATTGATGGTGTCATAATTACATAGCTATGCTGCATACACCCTAAGAGGGTTCAGTGCATACGTATGTACTGAATGAGATATTTTAAGTTACACTGTGCCTTGCACATGTTCCATAGTAGTGGGGCTTAGTATGCATGGATAAAAATGTATTTCTGTTTCAGACTATGAATCTCTGAGGATCGGTGGACTGATCTTCGCTGTGGTATTGTTTGTCATGGGCATTGTCCTCATCGTCAGTAAGTCTGTCGGCCTAAGTACGGTTATACTTAAAATACAATTTTAAGTATTACACTTACATTTTAATTACCCATTGAAATAACATTTGATTAGTGTCATAAGGTTTATTTCTACTGTACCAATCTCATTCCATAATGATGGTATTTCTGCGCTGTTCAACATGCTGATCCAGTGGACAGCTCCTCTTTACCAGTCCAGTCCTTATAAACAAACCTGGGATCAGTTACTTTCTGGGGGCTGGGACGCAGGCCAACATGCCTTGCAAAATGCCCAGACCCCCAGGACACCCAACACCTCTCTGCCCTGTAGACATCTGCACATCTAGGGCCCTGACTAAAACTGGCCTGGACACTATGCAGCCTTGTCCCCTCCCTCCTCATCTCCTGCCCTTGCACTCATCCACCCCACCCCAGGCATAGCTGCAGCCCCCCACCCACCCTAACTCTCACCCCAGGCAGAGCTGCAGCCCCCCACCCTAACTCTTACTCCAGGCATCCATTACATTAGTCAGCCCATACATTAGTCATAGATACCACAGGGGGCAGAGGGAGTGCCCCCCCTGATCCAGTGGACAGCTCCTCTTTACCAGTCCAGTCCTTATAAACAAACCTGGGATCAGTTACTTTCTGGGGGCTGGGACGCAGGCCAACATGCCTTGCAAAATGCCCAGACCCCCAGGACACCCAACACCTCTCTGCCCTGTAGACATCTGCACATCTAGGGCCCTGACTAAAACTGGCCTGGACACTATGCAGCCTTGTCCCCTCCCTCCTCATCTCCTGCCCTTGCACTCATCCCCCTGCAAAGAGAAGGCGTTGGGTTTGTAGTGTCCTGTCCAGCCTCCCGAGTGGCGCAGTGGTCTAAGGCACTGCATCGCAGTGCTAGCTGTGCCACTAGAGATCCTGGTTCGAATCCAAGCTCTGTCGTAGCCGGCCGCGACCGGGAGACCCATGGGGCGGCGCATAATTGGCCCTGCGTCGTCCAGGGTAGGGGAGGCAATGGCCGGCAGGGATGTAGCTCAGTTGGTAGAGCATGGCGTTTGCAACGCCAGGGTTGTGGGTTCAATTCCCACGGGGGGCCAGTATGAAAAATAAAATAATGTATGCACTCACTAACTGTAAGTCGCTCTGGATAAGAGCGTCTGCTAAATGATGTGAATGTAATAATTTAGAATAATCAAGCACTTAGTTTGCATATTTTTAACTGGATAAGATAGGGTCTTGTAAAATATGTAATATACCAATATTCCAACTTCTATACAGAGCGGTTGCTATAGTATCTTCATTCTAGTGTAAGTTTACCAGGCATGTGTCTTTGACACCTAGGATGGAGAGAGTATATCAGCTTTCCATCATAGTAGCTCTTTTTCACACCAATTTCTCTCTCTCTCTCTCTCTCTCTCTCTCTCTCTCTCTCTCTCTCTCTCTCTCTCTCTGCAGGCCGGAAATGCCAATGCAAATCAAGTCCGAAGTCACGGTAAGTTGGGCGAAGAAGAGATACAGTGTTGATAAAAACATGGCAGAGAAAGACCATGACTGAGTTCATTGTAAGGCTATTAACCTCTTAAGGATCGGACCCTTTCTTTCCATTTTCGCCTAAAATAACATACCCAGATCTAACTGCCTGTAGCTCAGGACCTGAAGCAAGGATATGCATATTCTTGATACCATTTGAAAGGAAACACTTTGAATTTTGTGGAAATGTGAAATTAATGTAGGAGAATATAACACATTAGATCTGGTAAAAGATAATACAAACTATTTGTTTTTTGTTCCATCTTTGAAATGAAAGAGACAGGCCACAATATAAATTGCAGTTTAGGCGCAATTTAGATTTTACATTTACATTTACATTTTAGTCATTTAGTAGACGCTCTTATCCAGAGCGACTTACAGGAGCAATTAGGGTTAAGTGCCTTGCTCAAGGGCACATTTACGTCATTTAGCAGACGCTCTTATCCAGAGCGACTACAAATTGGTGCATTCACCCTATAGCCAGTGGGATAACCACTTTACAATTATACTTTTTTTTTTTTTTTTTTTTTGGGGGGGGGGGGGGGGGGTAGAAGGATTACTTTATCCTATCCCAGGTGTTCCTTAAAGAGGTGGGGTTTCAAATGTCTCCGGAAGGTGGTGAGTGACTCCGCTGTCCTGGCGTCGTGAGGGAGCTTGTTCCACCATTGGGGTGCCAGAGCAGCGAACAGCTTTGACAGGGCTGAGCGGGAACTATGCTTCCGCAGAGGAAGGGGAGCCAGCAGGCCAGAGGTGGATGAACGCAATGCCCTCGCCTGGGTGTAGGGACTGATCAGAGTCTGAAGGTACGGAGGTGCCGTTCCCCTCACTGCTCCATAGGCAAGCACCATGGTCTTGTAACGGATGCGAGCTTCAACTGGAAGCCAGTGGAGTGTGCGGAGGAGGGGGGTGACGTGAGAGAACTTGGGAAGGTTGAACACCAGACGGGCTGCGGCATTCTGGATGAGTTGTAGGGGTTTAATGGCACAGGCAGGGAGCCCAGCCAACAGCGAGTTGCAGTAATCCAGACGGGAGATGACAAGTGCCTGGATTAGGACCTGTGCCGCTTCCTGTGTAAGGCAGGGTCGTACTCTCCGAATGTTGTAGAGCATGAACCTGCAGGATCGGGGGGGATTCAGCAGTGAGGAGAATGTGGCAAAGAGCTTCCTAGGGTTAGAGGCAGATGCTTGGAATTTAGAGTGGTAGAAAGTGGCCTTAGCAGCAGAAACAGATGAAGAAAATGTAGAGAGGAGGGAGTGAAAAGATGCCAGGTCGGCAGGGAGTTTAGTTTTCTTCCATTTCCGCTCAGCTGCCCGGAGCTCTGTTCTGTGAGCTCGCAATGAGTCATCAAGCCACAAGCTGGAGGGGAGGACCGAGCCGGCCGGGAGGATAGGGGACACAGGGAGTCAAATGATGCAGAAAGGGAGGAGAGGAGGGTTGAGGAGGCAGAATCAGGAGATTGGAGGGAGAAGGATTGAGCAGAGGGAAGAGATGATAGGATGGAAGAGGAGAGAGTAGTGGGAGAGAGAGAGCGAAGGTTGCGGCGGCGCGTTACCATCTGTGTAGGGGCAGAGTGAGTAGTGTTGGAGGAGAGCGAGAGAGAAAAGGATACAAAGTAGTGGTCGGAGACATGGAGGGGAGTTGCAGTGAGATTAGTAGAAGAGCAACATCTAGTAAAGATGAAGTCAAGCGTATTGCCTGCCTTGTGAGTGGGTGAGGTCAAAAGAGGAGAGGAGTGGAAAGAAGGAGGCAGAGAGAAATGAGTCAAATGTAGACGTGGGGAGGTTGAAATCCCCCAAAACTGTGAAGGGTGAGCCATCCTCAGGAAAGGAACTTATCAAGGCGTCAAGCTCATTGATGAACTCTCCAAGGGAACCTGGAGGGCGATAGATGACAAGGATATTAAGCTTAAATGGGCTAGTGACTGTGACAGCGTGGAATTCAAATGAGGAGATAGACAGATGGGTTAGGGAAAAAATTGAGAATGACCACTTGGGAGAGATGAGGATTCCTGTGCCACCACCCCTCTGACCAGATGCTCTCGGGGTATGCGAGAACACATGGTCAGACGAGGAGAGAGCATTAGGAGTAGCAGTGTTTTCAGTGGTAATCCATGTTTCCGTCAGCGCCAGGAAGTCGAGGGACTGGAGGGTAGCATAGGCTGGGATGAAGTCAGCCTTGTTGGCGGCAGAACGGCAGTTCCAGAGGCTGCCTGAGACCTGGAACTCCAGGTGTGTGGTGCGTGCAGGGACCACGCACCACACACTTTGGCCACCACACATTTTGGCCACTAGATGGCAGCAGTGTGTGTGCAACGTTTCAGATTGATCCAGTGAAGCATTGCAATACTGGACTATTTTGTATCAAGTCTGCCCAAATGTGCCGACTTGGTCAATTGATACATTTTCAAGTACATAACTATAGAGAACATACAAAAATGATATGGTAATACAAAATGTAAGTTTACACACTCCCAGGAATGTCATACATGATGGATCAATAGCTTATACACTAACTTTCATACATCTAGATGGCCGGGCGGGGTGGGTGTGTAGCCAGAGACAGCAAGGGTTCAAACTGTAGAACCCAGTTCCTACATTTGAATATAAAAATTGATTTTATCAAACAAAACTATGCTACATTTTATCTCTGGGACCTTTAGGATGACAAATCAGAGCAAGATTACTGAATGTAAGTACATAATAGCTACTGTAAATTGGACAGTGCAGTTAGATTAACAAGAATTTAAGCTTTCTGCCCATATAAGACATGTCTATATCCTGGAAAGTTTACTGTTACTTACAACAGTCATGCTAATCACATTAGCGCATTAGCTCAACTATCCCGTATACAGGACACCGATCCCATAGAGGTTAAAGTGTCATCTCTAGACTCGTAAAAGGAGCTATTTAGAATATTCTTAACAGTTAGACAGAAGCTACAGTACTCAGTTTGATGTTCAATACATTTTCTGTTATTTACAGTTTGTTTTCAATTTCCCTCTCTTAGGCCTGTTGGGGTACCTGAGGCATTGGCAGAGGCAGGGGCTGTGACAGGTAAAAGTAATCTATATCTTTGTCTTCATTGCCATATCAAACGTCTGTTTTGTATGTATCATTTTTATTTCTGAAACCAATACATCTCATCATGACACCTATCCGCTCTCAGGTCCTCAGTGATGTGAAGTCTCGCCACCAGGCGGCAGCATCGGACAGTAGATGACTACTATGGCCATCTCCCAGAAAGCACAAGGCTCCTTTTTTTATTTCCATCCTGCTGATATGTTCTCTTGACATTTTTTGCTTTTCTCTTTTTTTCTATATGAATTAATCTACAATGACAGTACTTTGAGGAAATAATTGGTTTATGCAGTAGGGTTGTTTTAATTGTAGGCTATATGTTAAACCTCATATGTGATAGACACACATGAACAAGCGATTTTGTAAGTTAGAACTTGACTATTAATGACTATTTTAAATTGTAATAAATAAAATAAAGTGATGTAGATTGGTAATTGTGTGTTGTGTTCCAACTTTTCCTAGTATCAGTCACTGGCATAGATGGTCTCCCTGTCAGTCACTGCCACTGGCACAGTCTTGCCCCAGTAGCGCAGTTCTAATGGATATGCAGCACACCTCTTTTGCTGATGTTGCACCTTTCTGCAGGCATTAGTAGACAAATTCATTCAACCTCCTGACAAGCGCAGTAACATCAAACATGCTGTAGCCTATTGTTTAGAACCATTGTTGCATGCTAATCTGACTGTTTTGTGCTTTAACAAAAGTGGCCTATAATTTTATCATGAAAATAACCCAGTTATGGTTATTGGTATATTCTTGGCCAAAGGGGGTCTAGCTGCAGGATGGATGAGGGAAGGGACCTGTCATAGACAGCTTTTCAATAGGGACACATTTATTTCCTCCATCTATGAAAGTGGCCACAATCGAAAGAAGAGGGGTGTTGACTGCATAAGATAAACATTTTTATCATTTCATTAGAAAAATACTTGAAATAACAATTCCCATTTGAAATTATAAGAATTCCCCTAAATTCACTTGGTCACTCAAATATAGGCTAGCTAAGGCATTCCTTGTGAAATAATGTAGCATATTAAACTGGAGGCAAAATGATTGCATAAAAGATCACATGCATTTTCTGCCTACACCACCATCAGGGACTTGCAGATGTTTTCATCTTTACTATACATTTGCTCTGTGTATTTTTATATAGATGAGAAGACGGGGATTCTTTTGTGCACAGCCTCTCCCTTGTTGCTCTGTTGCTAGGGATATCTTTTCCTCGTGCCGCAGTACAGGAGGAGAGGCGCCAAGGGGTGGAAAAGGGAGAGACCTGTTAGCGCATTCCTTCCCTTGCAGTTTCCCACGCCTCCTCAGGGCATGATGATAGTAGGCTACTCGAGCGCAGTAGAATACTTTCCGCATTGGCTGGCACATTTTTTTTTCTTCTTCTTCACACAATCTTTGGGGGATACCTCAATAGACAGGCTGCAGCACTGAATAGCCTGTAACATACTTCAGTGCCTGTGCTTCACCACCAGAGGACCCCCCTCATGCTTTCTAGGGGTTGGTGCAATTTACTTTATTGAGCCGCAGTTTTCTTTCTTTCTTTTCTTCCCATCCTACTCCACACCTCCGAAGTGCGCGTCTTCCCATTTTCTGTCCGCTGACCTGAAAACCTGCATCGGGGCGCAAGAGAGACTCAGCAGACAAAGACTGAGTATATCCACACTGCAGTCATGGCAACTGAAGGAGGTTTGTCCAATCTCTGTTTTTTTCTGAATGTAGCCTATGCTAGAGCATCTTTAAATCTAAAAAGACTAAAACATTTTAAGCTACATAGTGAGTTTCATAATGTTTTTTTTCTTCAGTTCTGTGTTTTAGGTAAAGGTTCTTTGCACAGGCTGTTCTTGCACATCAATTATTTAGGCTAAGCTTGCTCCTAGACTTATCTCATCAATTTCTACTTAATGGAATTTATTAACAATTGGTGCATTGCTGCTAGAGCGCCAATACAGGCTAGGCTACTTTTCCCATGTTTTGGATCCCTTTCCGTTTAATCTATTCACCTATTGATTATTATTTTTCAAATTACGTAATACTCACTGTATTTTCATGCTTAAAAATGGTAAATAAATACTTTTCTTATCATTTGTGAATGGTTGTGTTGGCTTGCCCATCAGGGTGCAAGAGGGGAGGGGGTAGTGCGCTGGGGAGAAGTTGAACGCGCCAACTAAGCCATTACATAAAGTGGGGGTTCAGCAACATAAAGTCGCATTGTCGACGCTCTGTTTAAGTGCTGCCAAGATGATCTTATAACCTTCTGCTCGGTAAAGTCAAGAGATAGCATACCTATTTACTTGAACTATGGCTGGGAGCTCTCATCTGAAGATGTTGAAGCACAGTTCAGCACCAGGGGTGTGGACAGCACTTTAGTGGATAAAGAAAATATTGTATTAACAATTATTAGGATTGTTCTATTTTTTAACACATCCGATATGGATAATCGATACATGCAACTTGATTGATTGGCTTGTAAATCGCGTTGCATTGAACGCCCCTCGTGCGCTTTTAATCCACTTTCTGTGGCCCGTCTTTTTATGCTGAGCAAAGACCCTGCATTGATCAGCACTCCGCAGTCAGCAGCGCTGAGACGGCTGTGGTCGTCTAAAGAAAACGCCTAGTAAACTGGAAGATTTACGCATAAGATATTCCTGTTGGTGTAGCGCTTTGATTTTATTTCCAATTGGTCTATTCGTGGTCCTCTGTAGCTCAATTGGTAGAGCACGGCGCTTGTAACGCAGGGTAGTGGGTTCGATCCCCGGGACCACCCCATACGTAAACATTTATGCACACGTGACTGTAAGTCGCTTTGGATAAAAGCGTCTGCTAAATGGCATATAATTATAAAAATCACAAGGTTAAGCAAAAATAACGCACTAACTCAAATCACTCACTTAGAATCAGTGATTAATATGAGAGCAAAATCTGTCCACATTAGGCTACTCATGTTCCGACGTTTTCCCAAAACCGGTCGAGTTCTGCTGTCCATGGTGCTGACCGACTCCCATCCCAAAAGGGCGTTCCCATGAGTTTTGGAACTCGGTCTATTGGCTGTTCTCTTCTCCAGCACTGCAAGATCCTGCCATCATTTATAACTTACATTACATAATGTTGGAACCTTGTTATTAGGCCTGATGTGGATGATACATGGTTGTTTGTTCTGACTAATAATGTGTGTTTTCTGTACAGAATCGATGTTTCATGATCAAAGTGACTTTGAATATGGTGAGTGAATTCATCCCAATGGATTCATTTGTTATTTGAGTCACACCATACATGGCATGTGAGTTGTACCATGTTACTACTACTAATGGTCATGTTTATAGATTTTTTTTATGGTTTCAGATTATGAGACACTTCGAACTACAGGGGTCATCATTGGTGTGATCTTGTTTGTGTCGGGTATCCTAATAGCTCTTAGTAAGTATGCTTGCGGGCAACACACACCGCCTAGTCTGTCACATGCTCACCTGTAACTCTCTGAAGGTTACCTAGACATCTGTAACTTTTCATCTCTTCAACAGGTAAAAAACTCACATGCTCAAAATCGTCTTCCAAGTAAGAGTTTGCACATGGCTTGGCAGTTGCTCCGCCTGTGCATGTGGAATGCATCAGACTTTGGAAGAGGAGTCCCCACCAAATACAGGATGGCTTTACGAATACTATTTTACTGTTACCATATCTGCCCTTTCCCCCTCTCTCCCCTCCCACAGTGGATCCTATGTCTGAATGCTGCCTATTGGTTAAGAGATTACAGTCCTGCCCTCCCTCCCTAAATCCAACAACACTGCCCACCTATTCAACTAATTAAGCAGTCACCCTTATACAGAGCATCCTGTTACAGTCAAATGTTTCAAGATAGTCTAGTGGTCTAACTCTGAAATGGTTGAAAATCAATTGTTCTTGTCAACCAAACAATATTAAGGAAATGTCCTGCATTAGGGCTTTTTTGGGGCCCTTGGTTGAGAATGGGGACCGTTGTTGTATGGGTTGGCAGTGTGGATGGATGGCCTCAAAGAGTGTATGTTTACAGCTAATGGCATGCCGACCCAGTCTCTCCCTCTCTCCTACCCCTCGAGAGAGGACACCGATTGGGAAGATCCTGACAAATCTCTGCATTTTGCCCCAAATTGAATCCTATGCTTGTCAAAGCTTTGTGGCCACAACCCCTTCTGTGCATGGAGACAGTTGACCTAATCTCTCTAAAATACCTTCTCTTTGGTCAAAACACACATGATCTGGGTTACATTGTGGTTGTTTCCACAAAGCTTTGAGGTGAACTGAACTGTCTGAACTATCCAGGATTGCTTCCTTTAATTCCCTTTCTCTCCTTGTGTCAGAGTGAATAACTGTCTTCTCTTGTCTTCTCGTCTTCAGCTCTAATACAGCAGGCACCCAAATACCAAAGACAGAGGGTAAGCCTCTGAGAGAGAGAGAGAGAGAGAGAGAGGAGAGAGGAGAGAGAGAGAGAGAGAGAGAGAGAGAGAGAGAGAGAGAGAGGAGAGAGGAGAGAGAGAGAGGAGAGAGAGAGAGAGAGAGAGAGAGAGAACACCACTGTCCTCTATCTTGTGTTGCAGTGCCTCCTCAAACAGTATAGACGAAGTGTGCATGGAGGCGAGGGAGAGTCATCATTGGAGGTGCTGCAGAGAGGCAAACACACACAGTAACACACACTGACTTGTTTATGGCTGACACACACCAGTGTCCATTGGAACATCAAGTATGTTACACACCCAGACCAAGCTGACCAGAAGAATGACGGAAATGTCAATCTTGATTTAAATAAAATGTTTATCAAGCCAAGCCAAGTGACTCTTAACCGTCTTTGTGACTTATGTATTAGGTGCTATCAATCTACCTTGCCCAGGAGAGAAAGTGAAGTAGCCTTCAGTGCTGATTTGGGGTTTATCCTTACCCCAATCTGCACCAAAAGCAACTAAAAGCAAAAAAAACATACCTGGCCCAAGATCAGCTTTCAGGTGCACTGTAAATCTGTATCATGATGTGTGTAGTGTTGAAACAGAACTGAGTGCTGTGCTCTCCCTCTTCCTTGCTTTTGACTTCATGCACACCCAAGAAAGTTGATTGCATGTCTCGTTTTACTGTATACTACTCTCAATGCACTTTAGAAATCTACAACTTTATTATCCAGTCGTGTGAGAGAGGTCTTTTACATTTAGGATTTCACATTGGACCTATTAATAACCTCAAGCATGATTTAAGATATCAACCCAACCCCATTATCCCACTGTGTTTTACTGACGGTTGGCTCAGGATCTATCTGCTGTCATTTGTGATGGAATGAAGTGGATTGCCGTGGGTGGTTGTGTGCTAGGTAGCAATGAGAAGGATGTCAACCCCATGTCAGATGTTAATTTTACAGCAATTTGAAACAGAAACAGGAATGAAGTCTCCTATCGTTCTCTGGGGTCTGAGAGGGTGCTACCAGTATAGTATTGTATTTCAATGACCTCTTTCTTTCTCCTATTGCATTTTAAGTTACATTGCACGGGTAGAATCATTTGAAGCACTAAAAAGGTATTACCTTGGGTTGAAGGAGCGGGCATTTTAAAAGTGTATGAGTTTAAGCTTCATGAAAAGGTCAATACATTAAGATAAGGAGGCACAGTAACTACCTGCAAATAAAATGTCTGTATTATCATTATTTAGAGCTGTTTCTAACTTGCTGCAAGTACAATGTCTGTTATCCTCAGCTATATTTATTTACCGGTATGTAGCACTAGTAATGCCTGATACTGAGCCAATGGCGTAACAGTTAACCAAAAGCAAATGAGTGATTCTCACCAGAGCTAACCAATAAGACAGCTGCTGCAATAAAAATCACCCTCTATACAATGGTCTTATTGATTTATTGTTTACAGTTATTTCCCATATCTTTTCATCTGAACCTTTATCAATATATACATGTAAAATAGAAGACAAATAGAGATGTTTGAAGAACAAATTTAATGCCAGCGTTAAGTTTAGGCAATTCAGTAAATCAGAAGGATACATTCAGTGAAAAGTAACAGCAGTACTACACTGTTACAAACTGTCCAAGTAGTAGATAGTCCAGAAACGTTGAATAAAATGGACCCAAGCAGCCAAAATCACCAGATTCTCTAGTACCATTTCTAAATGATAACATTGGTTGTTCTCCTTCATGTTAACTCGCCTATGCCTTAGACCTAGGAACAAACAAAGAACATCACTGTATGTTCCTAGACTAAGACTGCCCAGGTGCCAAAACTAGGGAAAATAACATTTGAAAATCATTTATTCTACAAGTCTAGGGAAATGATGTGTCATATCTCCAGTGAGATGTTTTTTTGATTTGATTTTGTATGCCACTTCCAGTGATGAAGATTCACTACAACAATATTTCGAAGGGCACATGCATGCTACCTCATTGGAGAATAAAGAGAAGAAAAAGTAAGCCAGTCACTAAAAGTTCTATGAGTAAGTGACGGTTGCTTTCTTGTCACCACAAAACATGTTGTGGTATTTTCAATCATGAGTCATGTTTGAAAATACCTGATTAATTGAAGGCGAAACGAGTCATAACTGAAATACTCCTCCTATAATGCCCTTTAAGAAATAAATATTACTGGTACTATATTGTATATATTATATTATATTATATAGCATGTGTGGTCAATATCAACATATTCCCTTTACATAGTAAATAGAAAACGTTCTTTCGATAAGTCAGAGTATGAATGAGATAATATATTAGCTATTCAATGAGCGCTATGAGCATATCAAATATAAAAAGTAAAGACTAAGTTATAAAGACAGTGACAGCATGAGCACAATGGTACACTGTGTCACATGCTTAGTGAAACAACAACCACCTTTCAACAAACCAATATGATTTCTGACCATGGTGGGAAGTTTTGACAAGAGTATGAGTGGGGGTGGTAGCCCAGAAACCCTCCTCAGATATACCTCTAAGGAGGGCTTTCCAGCTGGGGGGGGGGGGGGGGGGGGGGGGGGGGGGGGGGGTACTCACACAATGAGTCTGGGCAGCTTTGACTATAATGTTAACGATTTCATAGAAATCAAGGTTGTACTGAGTGACAGTAATATCAGGGGGCACTGGAATCCCACCTGTTACCACTGCTCATTACTAGCTAGCCATTAAACAACATAAAATAGCTACCCATTAAGCTAGAAAAATGCATACACGTCATAGCTAACTGAAATCAGATAGTGACCAAAATCATGTCAATGAAACAACAATCGTTTCAAAGTGAATGCCCTAGTATATATTAGAGATTTGCGGTGTTTGAAAATCCTCACATGAAGATACGCTAGAATCCCTCACTCTTGGAAGTACAGATGTCTGGATTCAACCTACAGTACAGACCTTCAGTACTTCCTCTGAAAAGAGGCGGAGGGATACACAGGGACATAAAAAGTAGTCCGGGTCACTCTTGGTCCTGTAAGGACATTACACGTCGACGAGAGGAAGCACTTCGCTTCTTCAGGATAAGCTTGAGCTGAAAACAGATGGGACAGGGATAGGTGAGCTGAGATTATATGAATGAAACAAAATGGCCATTAGCTGTCTGTCTGTCTGACTGCTCACCTGTTCCCCATGGGGTCCACTCTGCAGCAGGTGTGCAGGCTGGTCGTTCTCCAGGTTGCGGATGCTGGGGTCGGCCCCTCGGCTAAGCAGCAGCCTCAGCATCTCCTCTTGGTGTGGGCTGCCATGGAGACCAGCGGCCATGTGCAGCGCGGTATGACCGTGGGCCTGCAGGGGAGGAGGTCAAGGGAATCATGAAGCTGTGAGTATATACCAACACTATGGCAATAACTAGATATGCACACACTGTCGATGAGTCTCCCTTTCTTTTCAATCTTTTCCTTTCACATGTACACACGCTGTTGAAGATGTTCTTCCTCTCTTTTCTCTTTTCATGGAGTCTCTCAGGACACAGGTCAGTTTCTCTACATCTTTGAAGAGCAGACAATCTCACAGCAGCACTGACCTTCATGTTGACAAAGTCCCTCATGTTGGCCAGGGGGATCTTCAGCAGGTAGCGGACCAGGTGGATGTTCCCCTCCTTCACAGCCAGGTGAAGAACAGTCTTGTTACTTTTGATTTCCTGGAAACAGAGGAAAACACTATATGAAGCATCAAAATGAAACCGCAACGCACCGAAGGTGAGGAAAATATTCAAAACCCATCATAGGTTTCTGCAGGTGTGAGGTTGGGTGGAGAAAAAAGCTGACTAATAGCTCCAGATGTGATTTATTTTCTACCATAACGAACCATGCCATTCCCTTGGGAGGACTGAGGTATAGATGGTGTTTTCTACTTATTGAGTACTGGCACCTCCTGTAGAATACAGTCTCTAAAATACTAACTCTAGTACGTTACATTTAAGTAGTGCATTCAGTACCTGGCTGGTCAGGGAGGCTCCGGTGTTGAGCAGCATCTGCAGCCAGGAGAGCTTCTCCTCTGCCAGGGCATGGAGGCTGGCATCACCCAGCCCCGTGGAGGAGAGGGAGGAGAGAGTCTTCATGGTGCCACCGTGGGAGATGGCTGCACAGTGCAGAGGAGTCAGACCTGAGACAGGAGTGGGAAAATACTTTATTCTATTGTTGTTACTTATTCTGTTGTCTTATTATATCGTTTGTCAGATGTCTTTTGAGTAATGGTTGTGTTGTTCTCATTTGTCATAAGCTGGATGTTACCTTCAAAATTGCGAGCCTCAAGGTTCACTCCAGGCCCAAAGGAGAGAATAACCTACAAATACAGATCCAAAGATTGAAAATGATTGGTTATTCACATCATTTGTTATTTATCTAGATTGAGCCCTAACAGATGATAACTTTGGTTGAAGGCAGTGCTGCTGGTTTACCTGCATAACCCTGGGGAAGCCATAGGTGGCAGCAAGATGAAGTGCTGTTTGACCTTTGACATCACAGGCATTTATATCTGCTCCTAAAGACAACAGATCCTGGACGATTTCCGGATGGTTAGCAGTCACCGCCACCAGCAAAGCAGTCTGGGATACCGGAGGGAGGGGGGGTTAATACTATTAAACTAAGGCTCACTATGTGTGGCATCCACACATTTATTTTAGAGGAAGCATCTCATTTATGTTTTACTCAATCCTGTGTTCTCTAAAGTAGAAGTGTCTTCTTGGTGCATACCTTCCCCTTGTGTTCCTTGGAGTCTAGCCTACCAAGCTCAGCAAGCCTCTCTGCTGCAGCAAATGCATACTCCCTCAGGCCCTTGGCTGTGTAGATATGCAGAATCCTGACAAGACAATACAACATGACAAATTGGTTTCAGTCGAAAATGTTGTAAAGTCCCATGAGACATGAGACACTTTTATTTTTATTTGCCAAGTTTCTCTTAACATTTTCTCAAACTTAGTCATGTCTACTTTCTCAACATCAGGTAACAAGCCCCCCCCCACACACACACACACACACACTCACGTGTCTCCGTCGTCATCCTGCCAGGTGGTTCTGCTGTAGTCCATCCCTCTGTGGAATATCCTGGCTTCCTCCAGCTTGATGACATCCATCTGGCCACTAAACACCTGCTGGACAGGCTCTGTGGGGCCCAAGGTTCCCGACGACCAGGAGTAGACAGGGGTCTGCAGGGGCCCAGAAGGAACCAAACTAGACACAGCCTCGGTCACTGGACACTCCGTCTGTAAAGGTAAAATATTGGTATCATCATAAATGCTATAGCACATACTGTTCATGTATTTAATAGCACGAGAACAACAAGTAGTCAAAATGATGATGTAATGTCAAATTGCTTCTGTTCGAGAAACAAGTCCTCCTTACATATTGCTGAGGCATCGTGGTGTCTGGGTAGTCCTGAATCTGCTGTGTGTTGTAGCTGGAGGCCATCGGACGGCTGTAGGCCGGAGTGTGACTGTAGTCCATTGAGGTGGATGGGCTGGAGAAGTAATTGATCCCCATAGGGGAGAATGGTCCTTCCTGTATGGCCAAGGGGGCTTGGTGCTCATCCATAGAAACCCATCTCTCATACCCCACTGCCATGTCTGAGTAGCTGCTGGCTACACCTGGGAGGGTCACAAGTCAAGCCATCTGTCAATGTCAATGGAAGATATTTGAAATGATTTGACAATGTATTTGACCCAGGTCTGGTTGGGTTGCAAATGGCTTACATGGGTGCTTCAAGCAGTACTCACCTGTTGAGGTAGACTTCTCTGGTGTTGACACCTGTTGGGAGAGGACAGCGGCAGTGGGGACACCGGTACTGATTGTTGCCGTCGAGGAGGTCTCCCTCTTCCTCTTCTGCTCCAGGAGTTTCTTCACTGTGGGCAGAGTGTAACACGGCTTCTCCTTCGGTGCTGTGGGGACAGAGGTGATGTTGCAATGAATGATTTTTGGTGGATAGTCATGAAGTCGACCATGACATTTGTTCTATATTGGGGTGCTTTTCTACAATGGTATTCTTACCAGACATGTATTACTACAGAGCGACACAGCTAAAGCTCTTGGTATAATGTTATGACATAATATGAAGTAATGTGGTAATTTTGGATAACGCTTCAACTTTGTTTTTTGGATTGAAAAACCAAAGTTCTGTGATTTCCCATGATTCATCTATGATATCATGTTTACTCTTTTTCCCCATCACTTTCTTTTCCATTCAGCAGCCAGAGGAAAAAGAGATAGTGGTGAACAATATATGTATCTGAGGTTTCCAGCTTGATATTGCTTGTGTGCAGCAAAGCAGGGTAGTTTTTCCTCGAGTGTCATCACCCCACACGTGAAAGACAAAGCGACATTTCCACCGAGGAGCATAAACAGGTAGAGAGAGAGCTCTGAGGAACCTATTCCATTAGGAAAACAGGCTGTGAGGTCAGAACTAACAGATAGATTCACTAGAACCACTACCATGTGGAGGCTTGCCACTACACATTTTCTGTGACTCTTTCCTGTCTAGCTCCGTTACGCTGGCTGTGGTAAACCACAGCACTTCCTGTCGCTGCTGTGTGTGCCGAGAGCACGTTACAACCCAGAAGTGAAGAGTGAACATATAAACGTGGGCCATGTCTGCTCTGCAGTGTGACTGAGCTGGCAGCCATAACATAATGTCTGACTATTATCATGCTTAAGTGTGATGATTCATAAATGTGGTCATGGAGTAGATTGTTTCTCACAGCTATCTCACATCACCTGTCCTTTTCTTAGAAGACAATCAAGCCATAGAAAGGGGGCTTTTTTGGGGGTGAGCCTGAGATTTTGGTCTAGTTAAATAACATATTTGAATGCTACAGTAGTCTCCTCTATTCCCCAACAGGGTTCGGTGAACATAAGAAGGAGTGATAAAAACACACTCTTTCTAGTGCCATCAACACAGTGTCAGTGGAACATCAAAATCTCTGAATTGAGAGCGACAGTATAGTGAATGCCTGGGTGAGGGGTGTGTTGCGTTTTCACTTTTCGTATCCCTCTCACAGGGAGGAACGTTTGGTATCACTTGAGGCCACTCAAATGGATACAAAGGAGGAACTGCCTTTCTGTTCTGCAATTGTGAAAACTCCAGGAGATATTAACATTCTGTTTCTTGTCTCTCTCTTCTCTTGGACCTGAGTTTTACTTCTGTCTCAATTATTTCCCTCATTTATTTTCTCTTTCTTCAGTTTACTGTCTTGCTGACTAAGGAATAAAAGACAGACTACTGGAACTTGCATAACTAAAAATAAGACGGGAGATGCCACAGAATTTTCAGCTGAACTAAAATTACACATTACATCAATTACATTCACAATTTTCATTCCTTATAACAATGATTATAAACATTACTGTAAGAGACTCCTATTTTATTCTATTCTATTATTTTCTTATTTAAAATGACTTGCTACTACTGTTATACTCCAAATAAGAATCAATTTGCCAAACTGTGACATGTTCATATTGGTAAAATGACCCTGGAAATGAGTTGTGACCATCTCCTCAAGACTTTATTCCAATTTATCTAATGAGTTCAACGTCATACAATTCATCATCAGATACTGTAAAGTAATTAGTGAATCCCCCTACGTCATTTCTCAACCTTCACCACAGTGTAGGAGGGATGAATACTAATAGAGGGAATACCTCACAGGGGAGAGAAAGAAAGGGTGATCTACACGCGGAAGGGCAGCTCTGGCTACTGGTGCATACTGTAGACAGCAGGTGTGCCACCCCAAAAATAATCTCATGCAAATATTTGACTAGTAGTGCATGTTGGAGGAAAGAATAACCCCCCTACAGTTACAGGATAAGCTACAGTCGGATGTTAACCCTTAAAGGCAGTATACTGTCCATGTCCAAAGCCAGTCTTTCTTTTAAAACACCCACAGAGAGGGAGAACTGTCCTCAATAGATGTTCTTTGTCACCAAGCAGGTAATAAAGGTCACAGCTGTATTCTGTAATGTCACCTAAATGTTCCGAATGAACTGAGTGATGTTCATGTTCACTTTCGAGTTTACCTACACAACCACAGAGAGTAGAACCCATCACAGTGGTCTTTACTCAAATAAACAGTGTACAGAATGTTGTCTTCTATTAGTTTCATTGAAGGAATCATAATTAGAGTAAATGTTGCAATTACTCCTTCTTTAAACACTTTATTCCCCTTTATAAAGGGTGGTAAAAGGACTATGCCACGTATGAATCCTGAAACATCTATGTAGTGATTATGTAGACATTATGAGTGCTCTATAAAGCATATTGCTACATGAGTTTGGGTATAGACTAAAGTACATTTGAACCTAGAGTTACATCATTTGGCAGACAACTTATATCAGTGCAGAAAGTTCTTTACATCAGCCTATTGCACTATACATCTTCAAAGGTATATTTTTACAGTTGTCATTGTTGGGACGTTAGTTAATCGATCCATGACAAGGAGACAGGGCTGCCTGTGATACCCTGTCTGAACGCTGTTGCGATGTAATATTTAAATGACGGAAACCCCTGGCCATTTAGTCATGCGCGTAGGCGGCGGGGATTCCGATGACCTTTCTGTTTGCTGGCTCAATATGCTGCCGTGGCGAGCAGAGAAAACGAAGTGAACTTCCTCAATGACTGTGGTACTATGTAGACTAATATTTTGCATAGATATGACTAGTATGCTACACTATGCCCGTCGCCAGCATTGGCACTCCGGGCAAAATCAAGTTCATTCTTGCGTGCGTGAAATAGACTATCCGGATTCCCCCTTCACACCCATCATTAAAAGGGGAACTGAGATATAGCGAACATGGGCGAAGGTTGTGAGGGTTTCCCCCGCTGTCAGTTTTCAATACGCAAAAGTAGGCTATTGTTTTCATCATTGCCTGTAAATGTTAACATAACTTCTTAATATTAACGTATTTAATCATCTCACATTAGTTTGCTGCACTCAATTGTATGATATGATATAGGCCTACCCACTTTATAACAACCCTCATTTATTTTGAATGTTAGTCCTGACTTGTAGGCTATTGCCTAAGCCTACTTGCCACTTATGAATCAAAACAGTCGTGCAACTTAGACATTAGGAATACATGTTCAAAACTGAGCAGCAAGTGAATGTAAAAAATAGCTTTTGATTGTCAATGTCACAACATCCGCTATATGATCACAATATTCGTATCTAGGCTTATTAGTAGCCTGCTAGTCAATGTCATATTCATCATCAAAATAATAAACACTCACATTTCTGCCAGTGCATGTCAGAATCCCTTTTTCTTTGTAACACCTTGTCAGCTCCTCTTGGTAAAAAATGTTTTGAAGTCTCTTCTTCAGGGTTTGAATTCGCAGCGGTTCCTGGTCCTGCTGTAAGTGTCTGTCACAGGCTCGTTGTTGTCCTGCTACTATGTACACACAGAACACGTTGCCGATGACGCCATCCCCATTGCCAAAACCACGCCCACTACAGTCTGTGACGATTGGGTGCGCCAGAGAACAACATCAGTGCCAAACCTTCACCTAACCCGGACGACGCTGGGCCAATTATGCATCGCCTCATGTGTCTCCCGGTCGCGGCCGGCTACGACACAGACCAGTAACGAATTTCCTGAATATTTTCTGAATTAACAATGCATGTTCTGATTCAAAGAGTGAAATCGGAATGGAGATGATTTTGGCTACCAGGTTACATTCTAAGTTGTTTGTGTGTGTTTTGTGTATGCGTGTGTGTGTGTGAGAGAGAGAGAGAGACAGAGAGAGAGGGAGAATAACAAACAGAGATTTCCTTGATGTAGTAGGAATCTTCCTATATGCCATCATCACGGACTACTGTATAATTTAGAAACCTTTAGTTCCTCTTCCTCTCCACTGCAGCGGTTGGTATCTGCATGAGGAGGAAATCTAACTGAACAGTCTCATTGGCTGCTTTGGTCTCAAACCAATGAGAGGAGGGGAATCCAGCATCAAACCATACACCCACTATTCCTTATCAAACTGATAAGCATCTACATTCATGCTAGGAAAGACATGAAACTGCCTTGTCTTATTATAGCACAATGTGTTTATATTGACATGTTTAGCATTTCTCATGCATGGTGGAGATCAAGTCCATTTGAACACAGTTTATTGGGGGAAATAATTAAGCCAGTAATTTATTTGAACAATCTGCATATATTCTTTAATGCAATGGCAATTTATCCTAGATTGACAAAATCAAAGGGGAATTCAGTCCAGCCCTTGTAGCCTACTAGCAGCTCTTGTTAGCTTTTCAGGACAGGACAGAGCCTCCAGCATAGGATTTGATCATTTTTTATACAGCTGATTCAGTGTTTCTTTGTCCCCATGGAAAGGCTAGGAAGCCCTCTAGTGTCTGTTTGATAGACTTTGATACATTAGCCCCATCTAGTGTAATGGAAGCTCAACTAACCACTTTCCTCTGTGTTTGGAGGGCTGAGGAGCAGTCTTGAGGAGGACAGCAGGTGGAGTCTTGTTTACTTCATTAATTGTCCTAATTAAGTCCTAATTAAGAGACATGATAATTAGCATTGGATGGTTTGAACTGTATGATTTGAAAATAATGTGGCATCTATGTAGCCTATCCCAACTCAGACTTTTTAAATAATATACAACTTTTTATCAGCAAGTGACCTATGTTCACAAAGGCAAATACAATTTTCTTAAATGAACACCCACACCCTACTGTGACTTATTATTTTATAGGTGACCATTTTCACTAAATAGTCTGAAGGGAAAACGTTCCAATCAAGCTGCTCTATGCCTGCTGTTTATAGGCAAGGTGGACGCAATGATGAGTCATCATTATTTGACTGATGAGAGTGTTACAGCAGGTGAAGGGCATCAGTGAGTGTTACTGACTCATTCAACATGTTAATCCCTGATTCAGATGGAGGCAGTATCCGCTGTTACAGAGACCTTCACTGGTATCACCTTCAGAGGATGGAGAGTACAACCATTCCTGATGTATGGAAAGACTCTGTCAGTGAAAGTGTGTGTGAATGTATGTTATTATCTGGGTCAGAGAATGACAGCATTCCTCTGTACCAGTCCAGCTGCACTCTGACCCTCTTGGGTTTCTGTCTCACTGTTAGGAGCTCGAGTCTGTGAACAAGTGGCACCATTAGAGCATGTGTTACATACCTATCCATTAAAAACCACACCCCAGGATCCTCTACACATGCCGATGTCTCCCTTCCTCCGGCAAGACTCTGTGATCACACCGACGATCCATTCTGTACTGTCCCCAACCTCAACGTCCCAGCTGTGTGTTCCTGAGTTAAAGCCCTCAGAGACCAGGACCATTGTATAGTCATCAAATCTCTCTGGGTTGTCAGGAAGTTGAAGTATCTCATCACTGTTTATCACTGTGGTTAGATCATCAGACAATATTAGATGTGGGTTTGCAGTGTTGGGGTCTAGAGACACTGGAGCTGAACAGAGACAACACAAACATACCATAATGAAATTAAAATTGAGGTAGGGACATAATCTTATTATTCAGCCTAAATTTCATTCACTAAGCATATTTCTTGTTTTCTGAATAGGAAAATGTTAGTTGCGGTAACGTTTTATCCCAATTGTATCTAATACTCACTGTATTGAATTGTTCCCTGCATCTTCTCCCAGACTCTATACTGTGGGTTTCACAGGTGCTTTGCTACATCAATCAGTCGTCCTGAAACCCTCTCACAGTCCGGCTGTGTGCAGTGTGTTCTGGAAGAACAGTAAGGAGTCAGTGGGGTTGGATACAGAACCACTGAGAAAAGAGAGACCGGAGGCAGATCACTTACCTTTCCAAGGTGGCCCTGTAGTGCTGCAGATAAACTAAATCAATTTCTATCCATCTCTTATTATACCAAGTATTTTGGTTATAACAAACTTAGAACAAAGACCTGGTGAAGAATGCTCTCTATAAAATATGAAAAGTACAGTTGTCCTTACCTGTAGGAATGAGATGCTTTCAGCTCCCAGCTCCTCTTCTATGGCTCTGATTGTGTCTGAAAGTGATGATATCTCTCTGCTCATCTCTTCAATCTTCTCCTTCATCTTCTGACTCTTCTGCTTCTCTTCCTCCCTTAGTACAGCTATCCTGACCTTCTCTTCCTCTTGTAGGTACAGGTGAAGCTTCTCAAAGTCCTCCTTGATCTGCCTCTCTGTGTGCTGAGCCTGGCTCTGTAGATAGCAAATAAGAATGTGTCTGATAGTAACACCAATCATCATTTTATCATCCATAATACCACAGGGTGGAACTGTGGCTGCGATCACTCTGTATTCTTTCTTTAATGTGTTCTGCTGTTTGATCACAAGTCCGTTTAACGTCATTGAAGACCTTCAGCTTCTCCTGTAAGGGCTTCAGTGCAGTCTTAACCTCCTTTAATGAAACAACATAGAAGTTGGGTGTAAAACAGTGAATTATCAAATACATTCAATTTCACCATCTGAAGAAGTGTTCTATATTATCAACTACCTTACGATACTGTGCAATGTCATGTATTGGGCAGTGGTCATGACTCTTGTGCTTTTTCAAATTTTGACACACCACACATATGGGTTGTTTATCCTCCAGACAAAAGAGTTGGAGTTGCTCACGGTTGTTTTGAATCTTGATTATTTTCAAATCATGAGTAAGTCATGCAATGTAAGTTAGTTGAATGTTAAATAGCTGAATGTCACAGTGCTGTTCTATTCTGTACTTGAATCCCTCTTACTTGAATCCCTCTTGCTCAGTTGAGTCAAGGATGGAGCTCTATATAATAGCAGCACAAGGGTCATAGATTTCTGCAGTTATACTCTTCTCTGTATACTTATCATTAGTGTGTTTGCTTCGCCAAGAATAATGCTGTTCTCTTGCATGCTTATTGTTTGCTTTCCACCAATTTGAAACTATAAACATCAAACCAACTTCAAAATGTGCAGGCTGGCAAAACTACAATATAACTTTCAGAATTGTAAAGGCCGACAAACAGGCAGTGTATTGAATCAGACATATAAGGTAAACAGGGGAGGAGGAGTGGGAGGAGCAGAGAAACCTGTCATTATTTAAAAGTGAAAACTCCTAGCAAGCCCTAGTGAAAGACAGTAACTGATCATCGTAGAAGGTCCTGTAGATACGTTTATGTTGAGGTAAGATCATTCTGTTTACAATGTATTATTTTCTTTATTCTTTTTTAACTTTTTACTTGGAGTGTTGTTTCCATAGCACTCCACTAAAAGACACATGTTGAAATGTTTTTCTCAATTCAGATAATTTGATTGATATGTGTTACATTTTAATTCGGTCATTTCAGATTTTTGAATTGAATGATAATTGTTTTGTTCAACTACATTATTTTAAAAATAATTTCACATCTGTTTAGCATATTCAACTGTTATTTTTTGGGGGGAATATACAACTTTTTATCAGCCAGTCCTATCTTCACAATTGCAAATACACTGAAACTTTTTTATTGAACACCCACAACCATATGTGACTCATTCTTATGTAGGTGACCTTTCCGAAGTACATTTTCTGTGGAAAAAAGTTTAGAGTCAAGCTGTTCTACTTCTGTTCCACTGAAATGGCAGTCAGATGTGTATGCCTTCTGTTTATTGACAAGGTGGACGCAAGGGAACCAATACAACAACCAGGGATTCAGAGTAGTTTGTGTTCCCACGTGAAACCCATGCAGCTCATATAATGTTGGTGTAAACATTGATGCTTCAATAAACCAAATGTCTTCTTGTGTGGTGACTTTACATTTCTCCATAGGGATATTGTGTTGTTAAATGCAGACCCAAATGATGTTAATGGTATTGTGTTCTGTTCCAGCAGATATTGTACGGTGGTAATCACAGAAAATGGCAGACAATGCAGCATTGCTGATGGTTCTCTTCCTTTGCCTCTGTGGTAAGTGATGTGATGAACGTTCACACCTATATTCACAACCCTATCTGAATTGATGTGTGTGTATGTGTATATATATATATATATATGTGTGTGTGTGTGTGTGTGTGTGTGTGTGTGTGTGTGTGTGTGTGCGTGTGTGTGTGTGCATGCGTGTGCCTGCACCCTTGCAAATATAAGGTGGTCCCACACAGGAAAATAAGACCACAAAGCAGTTTGGGTAAACAGAAACTAAACTGCAGCCTCTATTGGTGTTCTACATGTAGACTTCTCACCCTCAGACATTCTAGTGAAATAGGAAACATTGTTTTTACTGAAGCTATATGTGTACAGTATACACTGAGTATATCAAACATTAGGAACACCTCCTAACATTGAGTTGCACTGCTCCCTTTTGATTTAGAATTTTAAGACCCCTTGAAGTATCCCCCCCAAAATATGAATACATTATTTAATGAACAATTATTTTGGGCTTTACTGCTATTAGCTCATACAAACGCATTGAATAACAGTCATTACATGGAACAACAGATAGTCCCCCCAAAAAATCAAAGGGAAGTTTGGTCTGAAGTGTCTGTCCTATATCTGAGAGATACACTACATGGCCAGAATTATGTGGACACCCCTTCAAGTTAATGGATTCGGCTATTTCAGCCACACCCGTTGGTGAAAGGTGTATAAAAATGAGCACACCGCCATGCAATCTCCATAGACAAACATTAGCTGTAGAATGGCCCGTACTGAAGAGCTCAGTGACTTTCAACATGACACCGTCATAGGATGCCATCTTTCCAACAAGTCAGTTAGTCAAATTTCTGCCCTGCTAGAGCTGCCCCGGTCAACTGCAAGTGCAGTTATTGTGAACTGGAAACATCTAGGAGCAACAATGGCTCAGCTGCAAAGTGGTAGGCCACACAAGCACACAGATCGGGACTGTCAAGTGCTGAAGCGTGTGGCGTGTACAAATCATCTGTCATCGGTTGCAACACTCACTTCCGAGTTCCAAACTGCCTCTGGAAGAAACGTCAGCACAATAACTGTTCGTCGGGAGCTTCATGAAATGGGTTTCCATGGCCGAGCAGCCAAATACAAGATCACCATGGCAATGCCAAGCGTCGGCTGGAATGGTGTAAAGCTTGCTGCCATTGGACTCTGGAGCAGTGGAAGCGCGTTCTCTGGAGTGATGAATAACGCTTCACCATCTGGCAGTCCGATGGACGAATCTGGGTTTGGCGGATGCCAGGGGAATGCTACCTGCCCGAATGCATAGTGCCAACTGTAAAGATTGGTGGAGGAAGAATAATGGTCTGGGGCTGTTTTTCATGGTTCGGGCTAGGCCCCTTAGCTCCAGTGAAGGGAAATCTTAACGCTACAGCATACAATGACATTCTAGACGATTCTGTGCTTCCAACTTTGTGGCAACAGTTCGGGGAAGGCCCTTTTCTGTTTCAGCATGACAATGCCCCCGTGCATAAAGCGAGGTCCATACAGAAATTGTTTGTCGAGATCAGTGTGGAAGAACTTGAATGGCTTGCACAGAGCCCTGACCTCAACTCCATCATACACCTTTCGGATTAAATGGAATGGCGACTGCAAGCCAAGCCTAATCACCCAACATCAGTGCTCGACCTCACTGATGCTTTTGTGGCTGAATGGAAGCAAGTCCCCACAGCAATGTTCCAACATTTAGTGGAAAGCCTTCTCAGAAGAGTGGAGCCTGTTATAGCAGCAAAGGGGGGACAAACTCCAGGTTAATGCCCATGCTTTTTGAATGAGATGTTCGACAAGAAGCTATCATTTTTGTTGTTGTTTTTTAAAAACTTGTATTTAACTCTTTATTTTTGGCACTAAACAGTCTTCATATATACAGTACCAGTCAAAAGTTTGGACACACCTACTCATTCAAGGGTTTTTCTTTATTTTTACTATTTTCTACATTGTATAATAATAGTGAAGACATCCAAACTATGAAAAAACACATATGGAATCATGTAATAACCAAAAAAGTGTTAAACAAATCCAAATATATTTTAGAATTTAGATTCTTCAAAGTAGCCACCCTTTGCCTTGATGACAGCTTTGCACACTCTTGGCCTTCTCTCAACCAGCTTCACCTGGAATGCTTTTCCAACAGTCTTGAAGGAGTTCCCACATATGCTGAGCACTTGTTGGCTGCTTTTCCTTCATTCTGCGGTCCAACTCATCCCAAACCATCTCAATTGGGTTGAGGTCGGGGGATTGTGGAGGCCAGGTCATCTGATGCAGCACTCCATCACTCTCCTTCTAGGTCAAATAGCCCTTACACAGCCTGGAGGTGTGTTGGGTCATTGTCCTGTTGAAAAACAAATGATAGTCCCACTAAGCGCAAACCAGAAGGGATGGTGTTTCACTGCAGAATGCTGTGGTAGCCATGCTGGTTAAGTGTGCCTTGAATTCTAAATACATCACTGACAATGTCACCAGCAAAGCACCATCACACCACCTCCTCCATGCTTCACGGTGGGAACCACACATGTGGATATCATCCATTCACCTACTCTGCATCTCATAAAGACACGGCGGTTGGAACCAAAAATCTCAAATTTGGACTCATCAGACCAAAGGACAGATTTCCACCGGTCTAATGTCTATTGCTTGTGTTTCTTGTCCTTTAGTAGTGGTTTCTTTGCAGCAATTCGACCATGAATTCACACAGTCTCCTCTGAACAGTTGATGTTGAGATGTGTCTGTTACTTGAACTCTGTGAATCATTAATTTGGGCTGCAATTTCTGAAGCTGATAACTCTAATTAACTTATCCACTGCAGCAGAGGTAACTCTGGGTCTTCCTTTCCTGTGGTGGTCCTCATGAGAGCCAGTTTCATCATAGGGCTTGATGGTTTTTGCGATTGCACTTGAAGAAACTTTCAAAGTTCTTGACATTTTCCAGATTCACTGACCTTCATGTCTTAAAGGTAATGATGGACTGATATTTCTCTTTGCTTATTTGAGCTGTTCTTGCCATAATATGGACTTGGTCTTTTACCAAATAGGGCTATCTTCTGTATACCAACCCTACCTTGTCACAACTCAACTGATTGGCTCAAACGCATTAAGAAGGAAAGAAATTCCTCAAATTTACTTTTAACAAGAAACACCTGTTATTTGAAATGCATTCCAGGTGACTACCTCGTGAAGCTGGTTGAGAGAATGTGTGCAAAGCTGTCATCAAGGCAAAGGGTGGCTAATTTGAAGAATCTCAAATGTAAAGTATATTTTGACTTTTTTGGTTACTACATGATTCCATATGTTATTTCATAGTTTTGATGTCTTCACTATTATTCTACAATGTAGAAAATAGTAAAAATATAGAAAAACCCTGGAATGAGTAGATGTGTTCAAACATTTGACTGGTACTGTACTTCCATAAATGTTTTCAACTGGTACCGGGGGAATTTCAGACTAGTCATTGTGAGGTCTGTGGGCATCCTAGAACAAAACAACTGACTTGTGCGTATTCGTGAGAGTCTCACCGTTCCACAGTGTGTAGCCCAAACTGTTCGGACGCTACAGACAGAAGTTGACAGATCGTCTGTACCGACCTCAGACGAGTCCCACTTGTGGGGGTCGTAGAGCAAAACGGAGAACAGAGTCTCTTCTTTCCATAGAGGGTTCATAATTCACAATTGTATGTAGACCAAACTGTTCGGACACTACTGACGATTTTGACGAAGTCCAATTTTCGGGATGTCTCATGGTCTGACATACACCGCTCTAGCTCACATCTTTCACCGCAAATGCAGAAGTGCAACATAGGCTGAGGTGGTGGATTAAGACGCATCCAATGCAAAAATAAATAAATAACGGATATCTCTAGCTTTAACTGATGGGTTTTTTGGAGATGTTTTTATTATGCTAATTGGATTTCTGCTGGGCGTGGATTTGACCTTAGGGTTCAACTTTCTCCTCCCCTTCATCTACACTGATTGAAGTGGATTTAACAAGTGACATCAATAAAGGATCATAGGTTTCACCTGTATTCAGCTGGTCAGTCTGTCATGGAAATATCAGGTGTTCTTAATGTATTGTACACTCAGTGTATAATAGAATTACACTGATAATGATCTCTTTCTCATTTGTCTCTTCAAGAAAAGGTTGTGGCTGATCCAGGTACAAGTATATCATGATTAACACATATCGTATGAAGCATAACATCAGGACAAATTCCATATTTTTCACACACTGGAGACCAAAATAATAATAAATAATTTTCCTATCCCTTTTCACCCATCCCACTCTTGTCCTCCGTCCCCTCTCATCTATTTTCTCTATTATTCACCCACCTCTACCAGATAACCCGTCCTGCTACAGGATCGAGCCTGGCACCATGGCTGGCATCATCGTTGCAGACGTGATCCTGACCGTTGCCATTGTCATTGTCACATACCACTGTGCCAGCCGACGCAGACGTCAAAAAGAGAGGGGTAAAGTGCCATGCAGGGTTTTTTCATGAACATAATATTTCTCTACTGCTTCCATTGGATCATGGGCCTCTGTCCAATGCCCACTATGAGCAATATTATATGTCACAATATTATACTTATGAAAGTTTAACTTCCCCCTTTTCTTGTCATGGTTCCTGCATCCCTGCCAAGATGATGTTGCTTCCCTTGTATCCTCATTCTAGAATTTGAAGGAACTATGAACAGCTCTATAATATTCAAGTTAACCCCTTAGACTCTGTAACACATGTACTGTTTATTAAGTGCTTAAAAAACATAATCAATTACCATCAGTCAACTGTAAATCATTAAATATCACTAGTATGTTGTATGTAAGAATATGTTTGAGAGCTCTAATGGTCTCTCTTGCTCTTGCCTCTCTCTCTCTCTCTCTCTCTCTCTCTCTCTCTCTCTCTCTCTCTCTCTCTCTCTCTCTCTCTCTCCCTCTCTAGCTGATGAAGTCTACATGAATGTCAGGGCAAACTGCAAAATCTAAGAATCCTCAGAAAGCACCAGAATACATATTAGATATATTTGTATATACGGTGTGATCTAGTTTTACATCATGTCTCTCAAGACATTCCAGTGACTTTATTTGATTTGAAGTGTCTCAATGAACTGCTATTCACTGCCACCTCCTGGTGAAAACTCAGTAAGAAATCACATTGAAATTTGAATTATTTCAAGATTTACTCAAATAAAAAGGTGAAACACGTACACAACTTTGTGTTGACCAAGTTAGTATAAAGATGTACAGGAGGCTCAAAGCCACGATAAGCCTGTGTAGAGTATTATGTCTGTGGTTTAGATGGCCATCTGTCCTGTCCATGTCTCCTATGAGGTTTAATACTGACCAAGTCAAAGAGGCCCACACACACTACACTTGGTTCTCAGACACTTTGTATCTCTGAACCATCTGTCTGATCTCTCTCTCTCTCTCTCTCTCTCTCTCTCTCTCTCTCTCTCTCTCTCTCTCTCTCTCGCTCTCTCTCTCTCTTTTCTCTCTGTCTCACACACTGTCCTTGTTTCATAATGTGTCCCATCTGAGGACCACAATGGAAATAAGTCGCAGACTTTTTTGCGTTTATCCTCGATGATTCTTAATCAAGTGCATAATTTTGTATATGTACCTTGTTTGTAAATGATCAAATAAACAAACAAAAAATGTAATGCCCAGTTCAATAACAATATACTCAAAAATCTTAAGCATGTAGAAAAAAGCAGTAGGAACATCTCTGTGATTTTGTATTTTAATCATAAATATAGATTTGAGAAGAAGCAGCATGCTATATGTGAATGAGTGTACACGGAATTTCCCTACATCCCTCATCCTAAAATAGCAATTTTGTTGCCTGAGATCCTTTTTGACCAGCGCCATAGAAATTGTTTTTATGAATGTCCAGTGTGTAGGCCTATAGTAGTTTCCCTACTCAACTCTGAGCTAAAAGCACTTTGAATGTAAAGTGCCATGGACATCCCTCTGCCCCTGGTATGATATTGTATGATGTTTGTCTCTGTGGTACACTCTGAAATGTTGACTCTGAGTTGACCGTTGATTTCCATCCACTGTATCTTTTATAGCTAGGCTACCTTAAGTCCCTAATGTAGGGAGGTGTTTATTGTGCCGACAGGGTAAGCTATCATTTCAGATGAACTTGTGGTTGAGAGAACCAGGCTTGGCTAGAGCTGCTGTCAGGTGTTGGGAACCACAGCCTACAGAAAACCACAGGTCATATTAGAAAGAAGAAAAAACTGCCGATCTGCAGGACGCTGAGCGGAAAAGGTCTAGTGTGGGCGCCATGGTAATAAGCAAGGCCTTTGTCAGAAACAAATAGCGAAGCTGACATCCGTCGTCCACAATTAGCAGAAGAGGACAACACTGTCTGCTGAGATCTGGGTTCTTTATCTGTCAGATAACACTGTAGGATGACAAATAAATGTCTATGATGAATGTCAATATTTGTCTAAAAATGTGTCTCTGTCCTTTCCATTTTCTCTAAACTGTTGATTTGAACTGTTAATTGATTCACTGAAAAGATCTGAAAAGTGAAGCTCACAAAGTGTTCAGTTGACCCATCACAGTAATGTATGAGGTGTGTAGAGGCTTCTCCTCATGTTGATAGGCTAGGTGATTTCCTGAGCTGGTGTGAGTTTAACCACTAAAAGTCAGAAGTAAAACCACTTACTGACTTCTCTGGTATTGGCCTGACCTACCATTCAGGGAAATTAGGTTCCATTTGTATTTTTAAGAAATGGGTTTAAACACATGCCTGCCTCACTGGCCCCCAGAAATGGCAGACTATACCAGCATTATATGAAGACAATATTGGTATACATTACAATACAGTAACAGTAGCTGCTACTAATAGAACACTATATAGCCTCAAAACATGGTAAAAACTATCATTTTTATATCCTGGCTTGTCAGTCCTTGCATCCATAGCAATGTCTATGAATTTGAGTGGTTACATTTCTCCAGCCGCATCCCTCAGCTTTTCCCTGAAACAGGGGCAGGGAGGTTGTTTTTGTTATTGTTTCAACTGCTGATTGCTGCTTTAAGTATAAATCTAAATGAATAGAAGTATTTCTGAAGGGTGAAAAAGTTATACTGGGAGAGAAAGGTTTTTAATATCTGAGCCACTGACAATGGCTTGTCTTCTCAAAACGACATGTATGTTATCAAACTGTGTGAGCTGACGTGTGTAGAGACAGACAGTTCAACACTCATGTGGACATGACATCACAGGGGCAGAAACAGAAACTCACTCACTGGCTTCCTAGTCAGTCTGCTCTCCCTTCGCTCTCTCACACACAGACACACAGTTACAGGACACACAGACCACTGTCTCTAGCACTCCTACGGTTTACATACTACCTTGTCTGTTTTGCTGGCTCTACCACAGAGTCATTGGGGACAGATTACCTTGGACAAAGCACCAGGGACCCGGAGCCTTAGACCTCTCCACTCCTCTCATCTCCCTAGTAGGACCAGGCTAAAAATGGGCAAGGCCCTCTGTATCGTGGCTCCCCTGAAAGGAATGTTTGGTAAGTGGCTCTACATGTGGTCATATTGTCAACAAACTATCTGTTGATAAGTAACTGCATGCTAAGGTTATGGATAGGTTTAGAATAAGGGTTAGGGTAAGGGGTAAGTTTAAGGTTAGGATAAGGGTTAAGGTTAGGTCTAGGGTTAGTAAATAGTTAGTTGATGTGTTACTGATCAAGTGTTACCCTTGACCGTTATGTTTTCAAGTTACTGAGTTTACCTGTTTTTAAATAGTCTTCGTTAGTGATGATACTGATAATAGAGTTTCTCTACACAACATAATATGTATCATAGGAATAACAGGACTGTGGTTGGGAAGTCAGAGGCTTATAGAGGCATCCCTAGTTGTAAATTATGTGGTTAACTGTGTGGATAAAAGTCAACATTGTGCTGTCCTCTTCATTGACCTGTCAAAGGCTTTCGATACTGTTGATCACTCACTGCTAAGTCAGAGGCTTTCCTCAATTGGCCTAGACCAGGCTGCATGCAACTGGTTTAAAAATTATTTGACAGACAGAGCTCAATGTATATCTACTGATGGTGTTAAATCAGGTTTCCTGGATATTATGAAAGGTGTCCCGCAGGGGTCGATTCTGGGTCCTGTACTTTTTACTTTAAATTCTCTAAAACAATTATGGAGGCGGCTTATGGTAGAGAAATTAACATTAAATTATCTGGCAACAGCTCTGTTGGACATTCCTGCAGTCAGCATGCCAATTGCATGCTCCCTCAAAACTTGAGACATCTGTGACAAAACTGCACACTTTAGAGTGGCCTTTTATTATCCCAAGCACAAGGTGCACCTATGTAATGATCATGCTGATTAATCAGCTTCTTGATATGCCACACCTGTCAGGTGTATTGATTATCTTGGCAAATGAGAAATGCTCACTAGCAGGGATGTAAACACATTTGTGCACCACATTTGAGAAAAATAAGCTTTTCTGTGTGTATGGAACATTTCTGGGATCTTTTATTTCAGCTCATGAAACACTTTACATGTTGCGTTTATATTTTTGTTCAGTATAGTTAAGAAGCTGAGAATAGAAAGACAGAAATAGGTCCTGCCTCTCGCTAAATAGTGAAAAGCAGATTATTCAGTAGACATTCCTATCGGTCCTAGACTATGGCGACATCATCTATACGAACGTAGCTGCCACTTCATTAAAGCAATTAGATGCAGTTTATCATAGCGCACTGTGCTTTATTACGGGCGACAATTTTAGTACTAATCACTGCATTCTCTACTGGAAAGATGGTTGGCCCTCTTTGATGTCACATATGTTGATACATTGCTATGGTTTCATTTATAAAGCCCTTTGACAAAAAGTCCCACTGTACCAAACATCATTACTAAACTTTAGACAAAGAAGTTACCACACCTGGTCTCGTCGATGGCTATCTCTGGAAATTCCTTTGATCTCTACTGAGTTAGGTAAATCAGCTTTAAGTTTCCTTGCACGTTATTTGTGGAACAATCTTCTAAATGTTCTTAAATGTGATGTTCTGGTGCCTCTAGGGCAATTCAGAAAGATGATTGAGGACCTTATTGCTGATGAATATGTTTTTTTTTTATGACCATGTTTTTCTTCCTGCGTGTATTTTGTGTTTTATATTTTGATGTGTGCATTTTCTGTATTTTCTGTAATTCTGTAAAATAGACCTTGGTTTCGGTATGACTCCCTGATAAAATAAGTCAGTAGTAAATATTTTCAAAAGGACACAGAGGAGCACTTTTCTAAAGAACACATATCTAGTGTTAGAATTAGTTTGACTAAACAAATTATAATTATAGCTGAAATAGAGTCTACATGTTGACTTTCTGAAGTGTATGTTTGTGCGAGTTGGTGTGTGTATACTGGGGGTGAATTTCCAAGAAATGTACCCAAAAAGAAGAAGTGTCCTTTTTACAAAGTTTTTTCACCTGCATAGGAATCATTCAAGAGATATTATACAGTACATGTTCTGTTGTCTGCTTTTTTAGTGAATTACCAATCCCTTCACTTATATTGCTATTTTCTTTCTTGATCCTTGATCTCTCTTTTCTTTCAGGTCCTGTCGAAGGAGAACAAGGTATTTGCCTGCTGTTGATAACATAATCGATTTTTGTAATAATTGAGACCAAGGGCTTAACTTTAACCACTCTTTATACTATTTCAACTCATCCTATATCCCAAAACTCTTGTGCCAAAACTCATGTTTTGACCATGGTCAGTAAGCAGAACGCTCTCTCTCTCCAGACTGTGGCCACTGCTATCAGATAGACATGGGGGCAGTGGTGGGCATCATCGCCTGTGACATCATCCTGACTCTCCTCATCGCGCTAGCCGTGTTCTGTTTTGCTACCTTCCGGAAGAAGAGGAGTCAACAGGAGTCTCGACTGGAGGGTGAGAGGTGTGTGTGTGTGTGTGTGTGCGCGCTTGCTTGCTTGCATCCTCCACCCATCCCTAACCCCTCCTGTTTGCCATCTCTCCTCAGGTAAAGGGAAAACACTCACAGCATCAAAGAGGAAGACAGTAGAAATCACAGAGTCTCCCTACCAGGTACAGAGGCACTAACCATAGTAGAGCAAAGGCCTCAAAGCATACAGAATATACATTTACATGGAGTAACTGTTAATGGCTGGTGTGATACTCTTATGATTCTTTCCCTGTTGAATTGTTTTATTTTTGCCTTTAATGTTGTAGGAGCTGCATGGAATTCAGTCAGACGTGTACAGTGATCTCCAACAGTTTCGGAAATGAGACTACATTTTTGGACAGGACTGCATGTATCATGCTGCCTGGTGCTTAAATCTGACAAGGACGGAACTTTGCACATCTGGGATTTATATTCATACTCATCTTCTTACTGTTATCTTTCAACTTTTGTGTGTCTGTCTAATTGTACAGTTAATAGAATAGCATAAGACACATTCAAGAGATATTGTATATATTTTACATACATTTACCTGTTTATGTTTGATTAATAGGGTACCTTTTATAGTGTTGCAATTTTATTGCATTATACATCTGTTTTATTTGACTTAATTAAATAATTTCTGTTGAATAATAGGGTTATTTTATTCTATGTTTCATAAGCACATCATTTGTATATTGCCAGAAACAGTTCATGGAAGCCCCATTAATATTGCCCACAGGATGTTGGTGGCACCTTAATTGGGGAGGACGGGCTCGTGGTAATGGCTGGAGCCGGGTAGGTGGAATGGTTTCAAACACATGGTTTCTATGTGTTTGATGCCATTCCATTCGCTCCGTTCCAGCCATTTTTATGAGCCGTCCTCCCCTCAGCAGCCTCCACTGATATTGCCTATTATTAATATTAGTCATATGATCTGAAAAACTATTAGTCAACTGGGATGAAAAACTTCCAGGAGATATTTTCAGTTGATTTTCTGTCTGCTCCCTGTTAGTCATAAGCTGGAGTCCTTTACTCACTATTAACACCAGGGTTGTGGTCAATTCATAATAATGTGAAGAAAAAAAATACTCTACATCCTCTTTGAAAATAATAAGAAATGAATATGAATGGGACTATTAATAATTGCCTATGCCTGGAATGTGTTAGTCTGGCTGACACAGAGGACTTCGAGTTTGGTGTCAACCAGACTAGGATGTGTCCCTCAATCATTTTAAAAAAAATAAAATAAAAATATTTAGGAGCTCGTTGCTGTTTATTGTATTGGTTAGGCGGCTACATATCAAATGTATTGTTCATTGCTTTTATTCACAACTAAAACATGTCTCCATATCTAAAATAAACATTAACAAAACTTTTTGATGAATGAAATTCCTTGCACCACATTTTTAGACCTACTTCAGATGTGTTTAAATCTTGAATTAATTGCATCTTTCTAATACTGACATATTTATGTAGGTTGTATAATCAAGTAACATACCTAATCAAAACAAAGACACCTCTGTTAGTCACATATTTGCCCTTAATGTAGGGTTGGTGAGTTGTAAACAATGGATCGCGTGTCAGCAGCAGGAAATTGATTGCGCTGCGATATTTGACTGCGCAGTCACTGGAACCGGAGTAAAGTTTCACTTAATAGATTAATAGACCAGGCTGGTCTCATAGACTAGTCACAGCATAGTAAACAAAAATCTGGGACAATGAAATTAGTATGTTAAGTTTGGTATGGTTACAAAAGTATAACACAAAGGTCTAGCAACCGACAGACAACTTTAGCATTTGAACTAATTAGCAACTTTGCGACAACTTACTACCTTTTAGCTACTTTGCAACTATTTAACATGTTAGCTAACCCTTCCCCTAACCCTAACCTTAACCCTTTAACCTAAATCATAACCCTAATTTTGTTAGGTGAGGGAGCGCAAAAATAAAATGTAAATTATGTAATAACTTCCTCAATCAAAGTTTGTACTGACAGATGTAGCCAATTGAAATAGCCTATCATTATAGAATATGCATAAAATGCATCCTCCAATTGCAACATCTGGCTATGCCCACACATATTGTTTCAATAACATTTTCTATTTTTAATACCATCAAATCATCACTGTCAATCGTGAATGATAATTCTTCATGTTTTACCAGTGAAACATCCTAAATGCTTCTCCATGCCAATCATTTGATTGATCTCAATCAGTTTCATGGGAGTATGCATTTCTATCTTCTTGAATTACTGTTTCTAAGTGAAATAGAGCATATGGTGTTAATAAACTATTAGCCTTTCTTGTATTTTGTTTCAATCAATATATATATCCTGCCTAGTGACGCACTCTGTTGGGTTTGGACACATTATCATTTTTTGGGGACTATTCATCTTCAACTATCTATTCTAAAATCTCATTAGAAATGAGGAGGTGTTTTTGGTGTAACAGTAACATTATAGGCCTACTATGCTATAGTATTATATTCTGTTCTGTTATGTAAAATGCAAATTCATAATTATGTGATCTTGCTAGACATTGATTCAGCTTTGATCTAACTACTAAACGAGCACCATCGTGAGAAGTGATAATCTTCTATTTCTAATAATAATATTAATAAGTGATGAGTATGACCATTAGGCATAGGCAACAGATCTTGATGAGATAGCATTTTAAGCGATTGGAGAGCCTTTCATAGTGTTGAAAGGACACCGCCAGGATCGCGCAATTATGTTAAAGACGTTAAACCAACCTGTGGTGCTGGAGGATAACTGAAGGATAGCTCTGCCATTTGGCCAGTTCAGGAACAAACAATAATTATCTTTCAGTAGGCCTTTAGCCTAATAGGCCTGAACTATGTGGTATAGCTATTTGTAGGCTATAGCCAAATGTAAATACAAATACATAGTGGTCACATATCGTTCTGGGTTGCACTGCGCAAGAGGGGGTCTTGGAGTCTTATGAAAATCGAGGCAGACTCACTGTGATTTTAGATTATTTTCAATGTTCTGATTGGCCAAAGTGGTCAAGCATCCGACAGGCCTCTGCAGTGCACACACATAGCCTATATTTATTTATCATTCTCGACAACACCATAGAGAAGACAGGGAAGAAACCACCATTTACCTACCTCTAGGCTGTTATACATATTTATTTGGTTTGTCACAGAATTTTACAAATTGCAAAAAGTGAGGGAGCGCCTCTCCTCTATACTCCGGCAGCACTACACCTTAACCCTAACCTTAACCCTTAACCCTAACCACTTGTCTAGCTTATTTTAGCCACTTAGCTATTGTTTGAGTTAGCCACCTAGCTAACATTAGCCACAACAAATTGGAATTCGTAACATACATATTGCAAATTTGTAAAAACATATTGTTCAAAATTGCAATTTGTAACATATCATATCAATTGTAATTCGTAACATATCATAATTCGTAACATATAATATACAATTGATGATGTACAACCACAAATGAATACATACCATACCAAACCTAATGTACTAATTTGGTGAGCTGGATTTTCGTTTACTTTGTTACGTCTACCACTGAGTCCAGGTTGTATAGTCGGAGCAAAGGCGGGTTGTTGAGGAGAGCTGGGCAGGAGCATGATTCGACAGGGTTAGAGGTGATGGCCGGAGACTCAAGACTGACCCGTTTCCGCCTACTCTTCTATCTTATCCTAGGTTAGGTCAGCCTCCCAAACAAAGTCTGCGACCTGCGTCCTCATAATAAAAGACACCGACTGACATCCCTGGCTACTCTGGGAGAGACGAGGACAAGGACACCTGGCGAGGTGGGTCATGATGATGTTGATGCTGATCGTTGCTTTCATTCCTTCTATTCACTCGTATCCATTTTCACTCTCTGACTCTGGTTGAATTTGACTTTGTAGGGCTCGTGCTGAGACATGTTGACAGTTGCGCTTGCATTGAGCGTCATCCTCACTGCTTTACCAGGTAACCGCATAACACAACTTATTGCACCGTAGTTACTGGCATTTGATTAACTGGCACTTCAGTAGCCTATAGCCTATTTCTGTGCTTATACTTCTGAAGTTACCCAGGTGTCCTTGCATTGCACACAGGTTATTTATATGGTATTGATCTGTCAGACAGGCAATCAGCAGCAGGCAGCACACATTATTGGCTTCATCAGTAATGTTTGTGTTTTCTTCCAGGCTCTGGGGGTAGTAAGTGGACCATATCCTTCACCAGGAGAGAGATCTGTGTCTGGGCTGGGACCACTGTCACTCTCCCCTGTTGGTATGACTACCCATCAGGACACACTGTCAGGAGGGTGATGTGGTTCAGGGTCTCTGGTCTGAGGGAGTTTGCCCACCACTCTGACTCCAGCTTGGTTAGCATGTCTTATAGAGGAAGGACAAAGTATACAGGCAGCCATAAAAGCTGTGGGATCCAGATCACCAATGTGAAGCTCGGCGATGCTGGACAGTACCACTTCAGGTTTGAGACAGACCACCCACAGGGACGATGGACCTCCCCTGACACCGTCTCGCTCTCTGTCACAGGTCAGTCATCTAACCTGCATATCAAAACAACTTTTGTAATTTTGGTTCATTTGATTACATCTCTATAAGATTACATCTCCATGTTAATCTGTGCTTGAAATGCATTCATTGTAGTATGTCGTGGAGCATTTCCATTGACATTTACCACGTTCACTGTGATACATGCTTCTCCGAGCCACAATGATTCCAGGACGGACACAGTAACTGTCTCTAATACACAGAGCTGTTCAGGCTATATCAACGCCTTACGTCAAACCACATAGGAATATAATATTAGGTAAATGAAACAGAGTCATATTCGTTGAATGCTGTCCCAGAGTCCTCTCTGTCTGTGTTGTTCCCAGAGCTTCAGGTTCAGGTCCATCCTGCGAGGACAGCCAACATGTTTGGGTCAGGAGAGACAGTGTACCTGGGCTGTATAGCCAGAGGCTGTGCTGCAGCAGGGAGGAGTCTTGCTCTCTACAGGAACGGCATCAACCTGGGATCACCTGCAAAGTGGCTGACCATCTACAATTTTGACAGCCAGCACGCTGGTGCCTACACCTGTCGCCCAATCCCCCCACAGAATGTCCAGTCTCCGCCGCTGGCCTTGGCTCTGGGACGTGAGTAGTGTTTATGTGTGATTACTCAGTAACTACTGAATTTTGATTTGACATTTGAATTTTCATGACCTTATAGGATTCAGTTAGTATTTACTTTCTATCCCCTCTCTCTCTCCTATCCATCTTCCTATTTCCTTTTCTTCTTTCCATTCTCTTCCCCTCTCTCTCTCCCCATTCGCTCTCCCCAACTCTCCCTATCTCACCCTAGATGCTCCTCGTTCCACAGTGATTGAGGTGAGTCCCATGGGTGTGGTAGTGGAGGGGGGCTCTGTGACTATGACCTGCAGCAGCAGTGGGGCTCCGGCGGTGGAGAGCTATGCCTGGTTTAAGGACAGGGAGAGTGGCAGCATTCCAGACAGCTTCAGACCCCAGCTCCACCTGAAGAGGGTGTCCCACACCGACCGGGGAGAGTACTTCTGTGTGGCACGCAACCCACTTGGTACAGAGAGGTCCAAACCTGTCCTGCTCAATGTCACATGTAAGGGCCTGGCTGTTGGTATCTATACATGTCTATACATTATCAGTGCTTATTTGGTGTCTAACATTAGCCCTTGGTCATGACTCTCAGTCCCATTGCATTACACATGGGAGTCATTGGACGAAGGTGTCTCCTGTACGTGGGAGTTTTGTTAAGAGCCCCGACGCTCGGTCTGAGCATTGACACGCATTGCTTGCGGTACGGTTTTGGAAGCAGTTGATACCATTGAATTAGAATTCTAGTTCTATGGTCAATACAACAGTTACTGTATAACTAGTGAGTGTGATATGGTCAAGCCTTAAGTATGAAAAATGTATGCACTCACTAACTGTAAGTCGCTCTGGATAAGAGCGTCTGCTAAATGACTAAAATGTAAAATGTAATATTACATTATTGCCTTCTATAGAAACAAAATGTATATTACTGTTGTAAAGATTTAACATCTATTCATCTTTCACATGACCAAGTGCCAAACTGCCAGTAGTTCATGACACTGTCTGTGAGGGTAGTCTGGGCCAATCATGATTGGGTAATATGTTTATTTTGGCAACTATGGGGGCATCATTTGTCACAAGGCCTACAACAGGAAGTTACAGTTCACTTTCCACAATGTCCAGATTTAGAACGTCTCATGACTAAGAGTGTTGACAAGGGCATTTTGACTTCTTAAATTGTCACAGCATAACTCTACTTTTCGTACCTGCAATTTACGTTAATACTCTGCCAAACGAATACATCATAACAATAATGTATTGTTTTGTTGTCCAGACACTCCAAAGAGCACCAAGGTGTTGGTCAGTCCAGCAGGAGACATCAAGGAAGGCTACTCTGTCAACCTGAGCTGCAGCAGCAAGGCCCACCCCCCAGTGGACCGCTACGCCTGGTTCAAGATCATGGGGGGTCAGACTTGGGCCAAAGGGTCAACACAGAACCTCTCCTTCTCCAGCGTCCGCTCACAGAACGGAGGACAGTACTCCTGCACGGCCTGGAACCAACACGGACAGGAGAGCTCCCCTGTTGTCACCCTGGCCATTCTCTGTAAGTGGAACAACAATGTACAGTATTCTCCTGTTCAAGTAATATTCAAATAATGGCTGGCTGGTCGCTGTTCTGAATTGTTGTCTGGATGCAGCAGATATAACACTGTAGCTGATAATGTTATGAAACTGTCAGAGGAAATCTGATAATGGTTCCTGACCGCACACTGTAAATTGATGAAAATACTGTGGTCATTTTGCAAGCACTTCTATTCCAAGAGAGAGATATAGTGTACACTGAGTGTACAAAACATTAGGAACACCTTCCTACTATTGAGTTGCACCCCTTTTTGCCATCAGAACAGCCTCAATTTGTCGGGCCATGGACTCTACAAGGTGTCGAAACCATTCCATAGGGATGCTGGCCCATGTTGACTCCAATGCTTCCCACAGTTGTGTCAAGTTGGCTGGATGTTCATTGGGTGGTGTTCATTCTTGATACACACGGGAAACTGTTGAGCGTGAAAAACCCAGCAGCGTTGCAGTTCTTGACACACTCAAACCGGTGCGCCTGGCACCTACTACCATACCCGGTTCAAAGGCACTTACATATTTTGTCTTGCCCATTCACCCTCTGAACGGCACACATACACAATCCATGTATCAATTGTTTCAAGCCTTAAAAATCCTTCTTTAACCTGTCTCCTCCCCTTCATCTACACTGATTGAAGTGGTGACATCAATAAGGGATCATAGGTTTCACCTGGATTCACCTGGTTAGTCTATGTCATGTTTTGTCCACTCAGTGTATGTCCAACCTCAGGAGTGTGTTAAGGTGAGCAGGAGTGTGTGTGGATCCAGTGGGCTGCTCAGGTTCCTCTGTCTGCAAAATGACACCTACCCTCCTTTCTGCCTGTGAAGGAACCAATCAATCTACCTCTGTCTTTGTCAATACCTCCCTATCTACTTCCATCTCCCTCTCTCTCCCTAAAATAACTTTCTCTATCTCCCTCCTCGCTTTCTCCTTTCTCCCTCTTCCCTCTCTCTATCTCTCTCTCCCCTCTCTCTCCTCTCCCTCCTCTCTCTATCGCCCTCTCTGTTTTGTTACTCTGTTCCTTTACATTTCTCAAAAATCTTTCTGTCTCTAAATATTTGTTTAACTTTCCTTGTTTCTCTCCCTCTTTCTCTCTCCTCCATCACCTTGGCTGCCTGTCGTCTCTCCCCCTCCCTCTCTCTTCTTCTTCTTTCTCTCCTCTCTTTTTTCTTTTTTCCCCCTCATTTATGAAACCTAAGGGGGGTTTAAGGGAAAGGTTTGGATCACCCCCCCTTTTTCTTCTAAAAAGGCCAAAACCCCCTTTGTTGGGGGGGAAACCAAAATTAAACTTGAAATTGTAAAAATTTTTTAAAACACAATTTAATTTTTAAAAAAAGGGGGGGAAAAAAAAAAAAAGGGCCCCCCAAAAACCATTAACTTCCCCCACTTCCCCTTACCCCCTTTTTTTCCCCCCTTTCTATCCCCCTCTTTTCCCCTCTTTTTTAAAACCCCCACCCAAAAAAACCCCCTTTCCCAAAAAGTTTCTCCCTTGTTTCTCCCCTTTTTTTTCCCCCAAAAACCCTTTATTTTATAAAAAAAAAAAATTTCAACTAGTTTCCCCTTTTAAAAATTTTCCTCCTTTACTTTTTTCTTTTTTATCTTTTTCTTTCTTCAAAAATTTTCTTTCTTTTATTTTTACTTTTTTTCTTAAAAATTTTTTTTCCCCATCAAAAACCCCCATTAAAAACCCCCATTTCCCAATTCTCTCTCCTTCTTTCTCTTTTCTCCCCCCTTCTTTCTTTCTTTTTTTTCCCCATCACCTTTGGGTTTTCCCTTTTTCGGTTTTCCCCCCCCCCTTTCTCCTCTCTTCTTCTCTCTCTATGTCTCTCTCTCTGTCTCTCTCCTCTCTCTGCCCTTGGCTGCCTGTCTGTCTACCTTATTATCCTTTATCTCTTTCACTCCCTGTCTGTGCCCTCTCCATCCCACCATGTTTTCTATCCTCTCCCCTATCCCTCTCTCTCTCATTACCCCCCCACCTCGCCTCTTCTCCCCTCTCTCCCAGATGCCCCTAAGAACACGTCGGTGTTTGCGCAGCCCTCCAGTGTGATCGACGCGGGCCGTCCTCTGACTCTGACCTGCAGTAGCCAGGCCAACCCGGCGGTGGACAACTACACGTGGTTCAGGATCAATGCGGCTGACGCCTGGGTAACGCGATCGGGCCCCAGCTACACCATTCGTGAGGTCACCCCAGGGGAGAGCGGCCAGTACTACTGCGAGGCACGCAACCGCATCGGCGTCCACAGCTCGCCTGTCCTCACTGTCAGGGTCAGAGGTCAGTGGACTGGGCAGGATGGAGGGAAGGTAGAGGAGGAGGTGGGGGGGGGGGGGGCTATAAGAAAGCCCCTGACTTTAATTATTTCCAACAGAAAAGTTAGATTTAGCAAGCAAGCAGATTCAGGGCACATCTCGGAATCTGGGGGCCAGAGAATCTGAACTCAGTGACCCAGATGGCTTCTGTCTGTGTGTTTCTTATTTAATCACTACTGTAAATGTAATGTCTGTCTCACAGACATGTTTTGCAAGACACCCTATATAAATGTTTCACTGTATGCCCCCCAGTCTGCCCACTCATGATCACAGAGTATTTCTGCTTTCGATTCTCTGACCTGTGAGTCATATATTGATAACTTTCACTAACTGTAAAAGAGGAAGAAGAGCAGAACTTTGATATCAGAAAACAGAAGTTTAGACATTTGATAATTGATTAGCAGACAAAAGCTAGATATTTTACTCTGTCTGTCTTCCTGTCTATGTCTGTCAGTCTTTCTGTCCCTCTTTCCTTCTCGTCCTTCTTGGCCTTCTCTCTCCTCTCCTTCACTCTCACTGTCATTAACCCAAACATCCTCCATTCTCCCCCTCTATGATGGTGACTACTGTCAGATTTACTCAGACTGACCCAGTTGTTGCGCTCTGATTGGCAGGCAGACTGAAGGTTATCGCCCTGGCCTCAGCTGTGGGCGTGTCTGCTGGTCTCATCACTCTGACTGTGGCCATCATGATCAGGTGACGTCCACTACACCTTTCTACACTATGATGGTCTATGGAAGGCAGGGGACGTTAGGAACATTGGCCAGAATCAGTGTTACTAGACACTTCATTTGATTGTGGGAATCAACATGTTGTATCCATCTGCCTTCTTCACAGCAAAAACATGCACAGAGTAGACATGGATTATCCAGAGGAAAACAAGAAGGTACTTGACTCTTCCTCCTCCAAGCATTGACATCAATATAGCCTAGCCATTATGTGATTAAGTAATATATAGACAAAGAATGAACAAATCAGTTTCATTTGTTGTATTTATATGGAATAACAGAGGCCATCAGTGACATCGGACACACTGTTCTACGAGTCAGTCCAGCAGAGCCTTCAGCTGAGGACTGGCAAGATGTCTGACATCCCGGTAGGTCAAACAATAACTCCCACTCTGTACCACTAGATGGAGACACCATGGTTCACTTGTAATAATCATGTCATGCCATTAGAGTTCCTCATGATTAGATTCCCATCTTCTTTTGAAAGATCAAAGGTAACAATATGTACCTACACTTTAATGACACTGCACCTACCATGTAAATACATTAGGGGTAGTTACAACCCCATAATTTGGGCCCCTTTTAAAAACCCCGGATTGGGTTTTCATTTAAATGACACCAACCCTTCTTAGTCCATCATGGGAAACCCTCTTTTTTTCTGGTTGTAGGAGGAGCCAGAGGAGGTGTATGAGAGTGCCCCCCCTCCCTCGACCCGAAGGGTGTCCCCCGCAAAAAGAAGAGACAGAAACCTCAAATACATCACCCTGATTTCTCCAGATCCCCCGGTAACCAAATCATCTCTCAAAGGGAAAAGGGGGGGGGGGGGAAAAGGGGGGGGAAAGGGGGGAAAAGGGGAGGGGGAGAGAAGGGGGAAAGGGGGGAAGGGGGAAAAAAAGGGAGAAAAGGGGAAAGAAAGGGAGGGGAAAAAAAGAAAGGGGGGAAAGAAAAGAGGGAGAAAAGAACGAAGAGAGGGAGAAGAAAGAAGAGGGAGAAGACGAGAAGAAGAAGAGGGAGAAGAGAGGAAGAGGAGAGCGGGGAGTGGAGACGAAGATGAGGGAAGAGTACGAAGAGGGCAGAAGCGAGGCAGAGAAGAAAACGAAGATGCTTCTCTCTCCTCACTCTCTCATATATCTCCTTAGTGTATACTCTCTCCTCCCTCTCCTTCTGCTCCCCCTCCCTTCCATTTTCATTTCCCATCCCTCCTCTCTCTCCCGCTTTATCCTCCCAACCCTTTCTCCTTCCGCTCATGATTCTCCTCTCCTCCCTCAGCTTATCTCCTCTCTTCCTCCTTCTGGACTACAGGACCAGTGGCACATTGCATTACCTATGTCCCTCCCTCTTTTCTTTCCCAGCCTGGACCAGATTCAAGTTACAAATATACCACTGGATGGCGATAAAGAGCCAAAGGATGCTGCCAATGTTGTTTACACTGTCCTGGCCAGACCACACCAGTAGTGGTGCAGGTAAAGTAGGGCATCTTTTTATATACACCTCACAATCTAATGAAATAATTTGCAATAAGTTCAAGTTTGACCATAGAAACATATTCTAAATGTGAATTCAGTGACACACCTCCATTAACTTCCTATTTTTCACATATCTCCCAGATGAGAACTGTAGCTTCCTCTGCTCAGTTTATCAGTTGAGTGACATCGCCAGAAGGATCTCTACCATCTTCCCCTGAACTGCTTCTGAGCAGGACTGCTCACTCTAAGCCAATTTACTGTTTTATCTAATTTACTACAAAGTCTAATTTACTAGGAATAGTTAAAGTAGTTACTTTTAATTCATTTTGCATTATAAGTGGCATTATAACTCATTTATTAGCATTTAACATTTTACTAGTAGTGGCCAGATTATTAAATATTCTGATAGCAGAATCATCCTAAAAATTCTACTTTTTCACCCTCAGAAGGAAGTCATTTTGTGCATTTCCTCTCTGGGTTCTCTCTATCTCCTCAATTAGATATCATTAAAATGTAACATACTTTACAAATGAACCCAGTTTGGTATACATCATCACTCATGCTAGGCTTATGGAGGATGTGTGTAAATGTGTTACTGTACATACCTTATGTTTAGGGTATGGTTGTTATGTCCCAAATTGCTTGTTGAAATACAGTGGGGAGAACAAGTATTTGATACACTGCCGATTTTGCAGGTTTTCCTACTTACAAAGCATGTAGAGGTCTGTAATTTTTATCATAGGTACACTTCAACTGTGAGAGACGGAATCTAAAACAAAAATCCAGAAAATCACATTGTATGATTTTTAAGTAATTAATTTGCATTTTATTGCATGACATAAGTATTTGATACATCAGAAAAGCAGAACTTAATATTTGGTACAGAAACCTTTGTTTGCAAATACAGAGATCATACGTTTCCTGTAGGTCTTGACCAGGTTTGCACACACTGCAGCAGGGATTTTGGCCCACTCCTCCATACAGACCTTCTCCAGATCCTTCAGGTTTCGGGGCTGTTACTGGGCAATACGGACTTTCAGCTCCCTCCAAAGATTTTCTATTGGGTTCAGGTCTGGAGACTGGCTAGGCCACTCCAGGACCTTGAGATGCTTCTTACGGAGCCACTCCTTAGTTGCCCTGGCTGTGTGTTTCGGGTCGTTGTCATGCTGGAAGACCCAGCCACGACCCATCTTCAATGCTCTTACTGAGGGAAGGAGGTTGTTGGCCAAGATCTCGCGATACATGGCCCCATCCATCCTCCCCTCAATACGGTGCAGTCGTCCTGTCCCCTTTGCAGAAAAGCATCCCCAAAGAATGATGTTTCCACCTCCATTCTTCACGGTTGGGATGGTGTTCTTGGGGTTGTACTCATCCTTCTTCTTCCTCCAAACACGGCGAGTGGAGTTTAGACCAAAAAGCTCTATTTTTATCTCATCAGACCACATGACCTTCTCCCATTCCTCATCTGGATCATCCAGATGGTCATTGGCAAACTTCAGACGGGCCTGGACATGCGCTGGCTTGAGCAGGGGGACCTTGCGTGCGCTGCAGGATTTTAATCCATGACGGCGTAGTGTGTTACTAATGGTTTTCTTTGAGACTGTGGTCCCAGCTCTCTTCAGGTCATTGACCAGGTCCTGCCGTGTAGTTCTGGGCTGATCCCTCACCTTCCTCATGATCATTGATGCCCCACAAGGTGAGATCTTGCATGGAGCCCCAGACCGAGGGTGATTGACCGTCATCTTGAACTTCTTCCATTTTCTACTAATTGCGCCAACAGTTGTTGCCTTCTCACCAAGCTGCTTGCCTATTGTCCTGTAGCCCATCCCAGCCTTGTGCAGGTCTACAATTTTATCCCTGATGTCCTTACACAGCTCTCTGGTCTTGGCCATTGTGGAGAGGTTGGAGTCTGTTTGATTGAGTGTGTGGACAGGTGTCTTTTATACAGGTAACGAGTTCAAACAGGTGCAGTTAATACAGGTAATGAGTGGAGAACAGGAGGGCTTCTTAAAGAAAAACTAACAGGTTTGTGAGAGCCGGAATTCTTACTGGTCGGTAGGTGATCAAATACTTATGTCATGCAATAAAATGCAAATGAATTACTTAAAAATCATACAATGTGATTTTCTGGATTTTTGTTTTAGATTCCGTCTCTCACAGTTGAAGTGTACCTATGATAAAAATTACAGACCTCTACATGCTTTGTAAGTAGGAAAACCTGCAAAATCGGCAGTGTATCAAATACTTGTTCTCCCCACTGTAGCTTGTTGTCAAATAAACATTTTTAAATGAAGAAAAAATTACTAGATTTATTAAAGACATATTAATCAGGCAGACACTTACCCTGTTTATTATGGTCTATCATGCTGTGGATGTCAGTACTGAGTTATTGATTAATTATTGACGTATTAACTATGTACTACTACGCTGTATGGCTCATAACAGATGAACAGGGAAATACTGCAGAGGTCAGAGGGTATATGTTATATTGTTCTAATGTCATTGTTGTGTTACCCTGATGGTGAAATTATTTCTGAAATGATGAACCTCAAAGGATAGGACTGTATCTCATCTGAGATTACAGAGTAACTCACTCATCTAATGAATACAAATATATAAGAGGCCATGATATGGTCAACTGAGTCTGTCTGCACCAGAACGTGTACAGTATTACACATGGTGTCTCAGAGGGAGATGGGATATGCAAAAATCACATTCTAAATTCACACGTGTATAATACACACTTGTACATGTGTGAAATAAGAAAAAGACAAGCACCCACCAAATTATCATTATTATTATTATTATTATCATTATTATTATTATTATCATTATTATTGTTATTATTATTTTCATTATTATTGTTATTATTATTATTATTATTATCATTATTATTATTATTATTATTATTATTATCATTATTATTATTGTTATTATTATCACTTCAACATACTGAATGGCTCTAAATCACTAAATCTATTCCCTGCTTACATTGAAAAGTTAGATGACCTTCCCTGTCAACCTTCAGTCTCAACTTCTGCATTCTATTGTGACATTGTTATTATCACATCAGTCCATGGTATTTGCATGGTCATTTGCTGACCAGTCTTATTCTGTGGACGTGCTCTGTAGATAGGTGAGGGATCCTGTTTCTCTCTGTAAAGTTTCATGTGTTTCCTTTCATGCAGTTGATTTTTATGTTTGCAATGTTAATGTAGAACATGATTTATATTAAGAAATTGAAGCATAGTTAAGTTTATTTCATGTTTGGTGAGGATAATAAACAGAACGGCTAGATTATGTAAAGGTGTACAGTGGGGGGAAAAAGTATTTAGTCAGCCACCAATTGTGCAAGTTCTCCCACTTAAAAAGATGAGAGAGGCCTGTAATTTTCATCATAGGTACACGTCAACTATGACAGACAAAATGAGAAAAAAAATCCAGAAAATCACATTGTATGATTTTTTATGATTTTATTTGCAAATTATGGTGGAAAATAAGTATTTGGTCAATAACAAAAGTTTCTCAATACTTTGTTATATACCCTTTGTTGGCAATGACACAGGTCAAACGTTTTCTGTAAGTCTTCACAAGGTTTTCACACACTGTTGCTGGTATTTTGGCCCATTCCTCCATGCAGATCTCCTCTAGAGCAGTGATGTTTTGGGGCTGTCGCTGGGCAACACAGACTTTCAACTCCCTCCAAAGATTTTCTATGGGGTTGAGATCTGGAGACTGGCTAGGCCACTCCAGGACCTTGAAATGCTTCTTACGAAGCCACTCCTTCGTTGCCCGGGCGGTGTGTTTGGGATCATTGTCATGCTGAAAGACCCAGCCACGTTTCATCTTCAATGCCCTTGCTGATGGAAGGAGGTTTTCACTCAAAATCTCCCGATACATGGCCCCATTCATTCTTTCCTTTACACAGATCAGTCGTCCTGGTCCCTTTGCAGAAAAACAGCCCCAAAGCATGATGTTTCCACCCTAGCATGCTTCACTGTAGGTATGGTGTTCTTTGGATGCAACTCAGCATTCTTTGTCCTCCAAACACGACGAGTTGAGTTTTTACCAAAAAGTTCTATTTTGGTTTCATCTGACCATATGACATTCTCGCAATCCTCTTCTGGATCATCCAAATGCACTCTAGCAAACTTCAGACGGGCCTGGACATGTACTGGCTTAAGCAGGGGGACATGTCTGGCACTGCAGGATTTGAGTCCCTGGCGGTGTAGTGTGTTACTGATGGTAGGCTTTGTTACTTTGGTCCCAGCTCTCTGCAGGTCATTCACTAGGTCCCCCCGTGTGGTTCTGGGATTTTTGCTCACCGTTCTTGTGATCATTTTGACCCCACGGGGTGAGATCTTGCGTGGAGCCCCAGATCGAGGGAGATTATCAGTGGTCTTGTATGTCTTCCATTTCCTAATAATTGCTCCCACAGTTGATTTCTTCAAACCAAGCTGCTTACCTATTGCAGATTCAGTCTTCCCAGCCTGGTGCAGGTCTACAATTTTGTTTCTGGTGTCCTTTGACAGCTCTTTGGTCTTGGCCATAGTGGAGTTTGGAGTGTGACTGTTTGAAGTTGTGGACAGGTGTCTTTTATACTGATAACAAGTTCAAACAGGTGCCATTAATACAGGTAACGAGTGGAGGATAGAGGAGCCTCTTAAAGAAGAAGTTACAGGTCTGTGAGAGCCAGAAATCTTGCTTGTTTGTAGGTGACCAAATACTTATTTTCCACCATAATTTGCAAATAAATTCATAAAAAATCCTACAATGTGATTTTCTGTAAAAAATAATCTCAATTTGTCTGTCATAGTTGACGTGTACCTATGATGAAAATTACAGGCCTCTCTCATCTTTTTAAGTGGGAGAACTTGCACAATTGGTGGCTGACTAAATACTTTTTTTCCCCACTGTATCCAAGTTGTGCTGTCTTATTGACAGCAGGGTTGGGGTCAATTCCATTTAAATTCCACTCAATTCAGAAAGTACACCAAATTCCAATTCCAAATTTCCTAATTGAAAAGCCTTGAAGATAATTGGAATTGGGTACTTCCTGAATTGGGTACTTCCTGAATTTAAATGGAATTGACCCCAACCCTGATTGACAGATACAGTTACACCTTCTTTAAATTAAAACAGTGTTGATGCTGCCACCACCATGCTTCACCATAGGGATGGTGCAAGGTTTCCTCCAGTCTGTTTGATGATTAGCTTTGCTACTGTCTAATGCTCTATAATTCCCTCAACCTGTGGTGTTTTTTATTGAGGTGTTGCAGTTTGATTCGATGTGGCTCTTTGAAACAACCAGTGTGATGCTGGGGATTACTCTCACGTTGCCAGGTGAGTAGAATATATTTTTTGGTTTGATGCTCTATCATTCTGTGGATGCCAGTATACAGTTCTGAATAAATTAATGATACAAACTGTATATTGTATATGGCTCATTAGAGATGAACAAGGAACTGATCAGAGGGGATATTTGATATTGGTCTAATGTCATTGTTGTATTACCTTGATGGTGAAATGTATATTTATCAAATGATTAACCTCAAAGGGAAGTAATATATTATCTGAGATTACAGAGTAACTCAATCTTTTCATCAACAGCCTGTTTGTGCACCAGCATGTGTAGAGTACAATCTCTCATATTAACATGTCTGAAGGAAGGCCACACATATAGTTGAAGTCAGAAATTTACATACACTTAGTTTGGAGTCATTAAAACTCGTTTTGCAACCACTCCACAAATGTCTTGTTAACAAACTATAGTTTTGGCAAGTCGGTTAGGACATCTACTTTGTGCATGACACAAGTCATTTGTCCAATAATTGTTTTACAGACAGATTATTTCACTTATAATTCACTGTATCACAATTCCAGTGGGTCAGAAGTTTACATACACTAAGTTCACTGTGCCTTTAAACAGCTTGGAAAATTCCAGAAAATGATGTCATGGCTTTAGAAGCTTCTGATAGGCTAATTGACATCATTTGAGTCAATTCGAGGTGTACCTGTGGATGTATTTCAAGGCATACCTTCAAACTCAGTGCCTATTTGCTTGACATCATGGGAAAATCAAAAGAAATCAACCAAAAACTGGTTCATCCTTGGGAGCAATTTACAAACGCCTGAAGGTACCACGTTCATCTGTACAAACAATAGTACGCAAGTATAAACACCATGGGACCACGCAGCCGTCATACCACTCAGGAAGGAGACGCGTTCTGTCTCCTAGAGATGAACGTACTTTGGTGCGAAAAGTGCAAATCAATCCCAGAACAACAGCAAAGGACCTTGTGAAGACGCTGGAGGAAACAAGTACGAAAGTATCTATATCCACAGTAAAACGAGTCCTATATCAACATAACCTGAAAGGCCGCTCAGCAAGGAAGAAGCCACCGCTCCAAAACCGCCATAAAAAAGCCAGACTACGCAACTGCACATGGGGACAAAGATCATACTTTTTGGAAAAATGTCCTCTGGTCTGATGAAACAAAAATATAACTGTTTGGCCATAATGACCATCGTTATGTTTGGAGGAAAAAGGGGGTTGCTTGCAAGCCGAAGAACACCGTCCCAACAGTGAAGCACGGGGGTGGCAGCTTCATGCTGTGGGGGTGCTTTGCTGCAGGAGGGACTGGTGCACTTCACAAAATAGATGGCATCATGAGGAAGGAAAATTATGTGGATATATTGAAGCAACATCTCAAGACATCAGTCAGGAAGTTAAAGCTTGGTCGCAAATGGGTCTTCCAAATGTACAATGACTCCAAGCATACTTCCAAAGTTGTGGCAAAATGGTTTAAGGACAATAAAGTCAAGGTATTGGAGTGACCATCACAAAGCGCTGACCTCAATCTCCTTGTGATAGCAAGGAGGCCTACGAACCTGACTCAGTTACACCACCTCTGTCAGGAGAAATGGGCCAAAATTCACCCAACTTATTGGAAGCTTGTGGAAGGCTACCCGAAACGTTTAACCCAAGTTAAACAATTTAAAGGCATTGCTACCAAATACTAATTGAGTGTATGTAAACTTCTGACCCACTGGGAATGTGATGAAAGAAATAAAAGCTGAAATAAATCACTCTCTACTATTATTCTGACATTTCACATTACTAAAATAAAGTGGTGATCCTAACTGACCTAAGACAGAGAATCTTTACTAGGATTAAATGTCAGGAATTGTGAAAAACTGAGTTTAAATGTATTTTGCTAAGGTGAATGTAAACTTCCGACTTCAGCTGTAGGAATACTATATTTTCCTACCTGTAAATGGCAAAAGGGTACTTCACGTATGAGTGTTGTAGATAAGTGTGATAACGTGAACTGTTTTTTGTTTTTTTGTTTGTGGGAGTAATTGGAAGATGACATTCAACGACACAACACCATGTGACTTAAGAGGGTCATCTGTGGTGTTTGGATGCACTTATGCCTACCCCTCAGACCAGACTATTACAAATACCTTCTGGAAGTTCTGGAGTCAATGGTGGGACAACTATCTCTGTTTGGCCAAGAAATACAGAGGATGTGCAGAATACCTTGGAAGTAGAAAGAAGAACTGCACCTTGAGAATGAATAACATAATTAGTAGTGATGCAACACCATGCTACTTCAGATTTGAGATGGTTAACGGAACAAAAGGATGACTGCATGTAACAGTAAAATATCAGTTTCACTAACTCTGACAGGTAATTTTGATAACATACACTACCAGTCAAAAGTTTGGACACACCTACTCATTCAAGGGTTTTTCTTTATTTCTACTATTTTTTACATTGTAGAATAATAGTGAAGACATCAAAACTATGAAATAACACATGGAATCATGTAGTAACCCAAAAAGTGTTAAACAAATAAAAAAATATTATATATTTGAGATTGTTCAAATAGCCACCCTTTGCCTTGATGACAGCTTTGCACACTCTTGGCATTCTCTCAACCATCTTCATGAGGTAGTCACCTTGAATGCATTTCAGTTAATGGGTGTGCCTTCTTAAAAGTTAATTTGTGGAATTTCCTTTCCTTCTTAATGCATTTGAGCCAATCAGTTGTGTTTTGACAAGGTAGGGGGGTATACAGAAGACAGCCCTATTTGGTAAAAGACCAAGTCCATATTATGGCAAGAACAGCTCAAATAAGCAAAGAGAAATGACAGTCCATCATTACTTTAAGACATGAAGGTCAGTCAACACGGAACATTTCAAGAACTTTGAAAGTTTCTTCAAGTGCAGTCGCAAAAACCAACAAGCGCTATGATGCAACTGGCTCTCATGAGGACCTCCACAGGAATGGAAGACCCAGAGTTAACTCTGCTGCAGAGGATAAGTTCATTAGAGTTACCAGCCTCAGAAATTGCAGCACAAATAAATGCTTCACAGAGTTCAAGTAACAGACACATCTCAACATCAACTGTTCAGAGGGGACTGTGTGAAACAGGGCTTCATGGTCAAATTGCTGCAAAGAAACCACTACTAAAGGACAGCAATAATAAGAACAGACGTGCTTGGGTCAAGAAACACGAGCAATAGACATTAGACCGGTGGAAATGTGTCCTTTGATCTGGAGTCCAAATGTGAGATTCTTGGTTCCAACCGCTGTGTCTTTGTGAGACACGGTGTGGGTGAACGGACGATCTCCGAATGTGTAGTTCCCACCGTAAAGCATGGAGGAGGAGGTGTTATGGTGTAGGGGTGCTTTGCTGGTGACACTGTCTGTGATGAATTTAGAATTCAAGGCACACTTAACCAGCATGGCTACCACAGCATTCTGCAGCGATACGCCATCCCATCTGGTTTATGCTTAGTGGGACTATCATTTGTTTTTCAACAGGACAATGACCCAACACACCTCCAGGCTGTGTAAGGGCTATTTGACCAAGAAGGAGAGTGATGGAGTGCTGCATCAGATTATCTGGCTTCCACAATCCCCCGATCTCAACCCAATTGAGATGGTTTAGGATGAGTCGGACGGCAGAGTGAAGGAAAAGCAGCCAACAAGTGCTCAGCAAATGTGTGATCTCCTTCAAGACTGTTGGAAAAGCATTCCAGGTGAAGCTGGTTGAGAGAATCCCAAGAATGTGCAAAGCTGTCATCAAGGCAAAGGGTGGCTATTTGAAGAATCTCAAATATAAAAATATATTTTGATTTGTTTAACACTTTTTTGGTTACTGCATGATTCCATAAGTGTTATTTCATAGTTTTGATGTCTTCGCTATTATTCTACAATGTAAAAAAAGGTAAGCATAAAGAAAAAACCCTTGAATGAGTAGGTGTGTCCAAACATTTGACTGGTACTGTAAGTAAATCCCACTCTCATTACAGTATAAAACAATTTCAGTGATTACTGTTTTTCTTGCTCCTCTCTACCAGGGCTGACAGCTGTAATCAACCCTGCTACTGTGAGAGAGGGAGAGAGGGTGACACTAACGTGTGCCACAACCTGTACACTGAGTGACCATCCCACTATTTTATGGTTCAGGGACGGACACTCAGTGCCCAACACAGAGTTCCTGGCCAACATTGAGGATTCTGGTAGATACCAATGTGCTGTTCAAGGTCAAGATCATCTCTCCTCTGCTCCAGTGTCTCTTGATGTCCAATGTGAGTAAATACCTGATCTAACTAACATGAGCACATCATATTATTTGACTCATATTGGAGCAGCTATCTAGGTTCAAAGCTCAGCACCAAGGATGTGTTGCTTCTGAAATGTGTTAATTTAATTGCATTATTTCCAAAGAAAGGTCAAGAAACGTCAGTTATTATTTTTTGAAAAGATAATAGGATTTTGAAAGAAGTATGTAGATAACATAGTGTTCTCACATATAACAGCCCTTGTCCATTTGCTGTGAATGTCAATGTGCTTAAAAACAAATTTGAATTTGCCATGAGACACTGCAGTGTCTATTTGCTGAGTGTGGCTGTGTGTTTACATTGTGGTTACTTTAAGGGGAAGTTAAGCAGTTTGAGGATGGTGACAGGGTATGGTGAGAGGAAATAACAGTGAACTTGTTATGTGAACTATTTCAGTGTCTCTGTGCGTCTCCCAAAAGGTTGTAAGTCTTTTGGATTTAAGAAACGGACAGAGTCCCGGTCTGCATAGTCAGAGATTTATTCATTGAGAATTCTGCCGTCACAATTTCAGAGTCCATCTTTTATACTCACACGTCATACAAAAATCCCTCCCCTCTTTAGGCGGGCTGTAGTTTTCCACTTTAAAACTGCTCTTCTGACCATCAGTTCACACACACACATACACACACACACACATACATACACACACACACATGCATACACACACACATACATACACACACACATACATACACACACACACACATGCATTCCTTAGTTATCGCCGTCCTCACAATATCCTGCACCATATTTCATACTCCTTAAAAAGCCTAACAGTTTCTCTCCTCCCTAAATTGGGAGGCCTCTTTATCTTGGTTTCTCAGTTATCTGTAGACAGTTCTCCTTGTCCTTTGTTGTCTGGTCTAACTCTTACTCACATTGCTAAATAGTAGCTCAATGTCATAGTCTTTACTGGTCCTACACTCACACTAACACATTTCACACAGTTTCAGGGTGTAATAATTAGTCATTAATAATTATTCTATCAATCCACCCTTTGACTAAATGTTACACACATACTCACAAAATATATGTTGTTATAGAAATGAATCACACACATTGACGCATATAAGTTGATTTGCATATAAAAACATTAAAAATTGTCTCATTCAATACAGGTTCATCAGGGTTACCCCATGATTAAAAGCGTAACGTTACTCTTTAGCAATGGTACCTAACCTGTTTACCAACTATCTGGAAACAACAGTCTAAGCCTATAGTGAAGAACATTTGCTTCATCACATCCTGCAACATCGGTTAACTAGTACATCATACTTAAAACAAGACTTTAATACACAAAATATCATTACAATATCTTTTAAACTAGAGATTTATAGTTCTAGGAAAACATCCAGTCTCAAACTATCTGAATCGTAGTCGTCCTCCACCAAGCCTGGTGGGTCATATTCTTCATTCGGTTGGTCGGAGTCCGGGATTGGGCCGTATCTCACCATCTGCTGTGATACTGCATCTCCAACGCCTTGCTCACCAACCCTCGGACACAGGGAATAAGACAACATCCACAAAGAACATGTATACCCATAGAAGCTATAGCTGCACCCAGAATAGTTACAACAATAGTTTTCCATTTACCAAACATGTTATCAAACCAACCAGTCATTGATGTATTCACCCCCCAGTTCTCAGCCCATTCTTTACTTAATGCAGTGAGACCTGCCAGTGCTCTAGTTACTGTACCATCTGGGGCTGTATTGTTGGGGATAAACATACAACACATGACCTCCCACCATCTTGTAAATCCGCCCTTCTCTGCTAAAAGCATTTCGAGAACCAAACTATTCTGCAGGTCATGAGTGAGGTGGCGGATAGTTGGTCTGAGATTCTCTTCACTGCATCCCTTGTCTAATTAACGAACCTTTGTAGATGTAATTAATCCAGTCAACATTTTTATCAATTGTAACCCACCAGAAAAACGTTGTTGTAAACCCTTCTCCAATTTGATCTGTGATTCGCATTACTTTGGTGTCTATAACATTGATAATTTCCGGGGTTCATGGTGAATTGGGGTGCCTTAGTATTATCCTTTTTAAGAGTGGTTATTTTAATATCAGAACAATTAGGTGAGGTATGGTTTGATCCCAAATCTATCACACAAGAGAACATGGTCTGAGGCATAGGTGCAGTTAGAAGGGTTGGCCTACCTGTTGAACAGGCATAACAATTAGTTTGACCCAACACCCTAGCTGTGTAGTTCATCCACCTTACCCAGAAGTTCTCATTTGAAATTCCTTCTACTTCTCCTTGGTTCATTTCCTGCAAGAGGAAATATTCTACCCTTGGCGGTTTAGTGCTATATAGGATTCCTTCTGAGGGCCTTCCAAGGGGTATTAGACTATTTGTTGATACCTCTGGTGATAACATTGGATCTACCTGCTGATCTGTCTCAGAGGTGGAAGATTCATTTCTCTCCTGAAAAATGAACCTCAAACATATATCTGCCCCGAAATCATCAACACAGGCCCAATAGTTCCTTGCTATGTCATCTTGCATAATTGACTTTACCGTTATCACCAGTTCCGTTTAACATTTATCATGGGTTTGTTTAATTCCCCATCGGTGTACTGCGTCCATTCCATTCTCATAGTATGTTCCCCAGGTATGTTTAAACACCCTTGCCCAAGGACATGAGCGTTCCCCAGTGCAAATGTATTTACCATACCTTCTAGGATCTAACTTTCTTGTACACTCCCCCTTCTTACCAAAGCCCCCAAAACCTCCTATCTCTTCATGGGAGAAGTTGAATGGTATCTTGAATCCCCCATCTTGTCCTAAACTGACTTTAACTATTAAAATAATCATTTCCCCAATAGTCTTTCTTGGTTTCAGTATTTCTACGAAATCAAATCAGTGCATCATTTCCCTGTTTAGGTTGACCTGGATTAATCCATAGTATGGTCCCCCAAAATCCCCAAAACCGCCATCCCAATCCTGTCCCTGACCCACCTGCCTGGTACTTCCCCATACCCACACCTCTATAAACACCCCACAGTGAT